AACAACCACAACACAGTCCAATCTTGTTTTTGGCTTAGATGGGAGCCTGGCGTAAGTTGTCCTCAGCCATTTACTGTAGGTTATAGTGTCCCCCACACCCTGCCCCGAGGCTTGCAGTAAAGCTGTAGCAGTATCAAGGTGGGTAAAACCTGATACATTTTACCAACTATTCTGGCAGGGTTAAAATCAGGTGATCTGTAGGAAGCAGTGACAACTAAATGTCTATTGGCAACTTAAGCTAATATAGCTACACCATCTTCCCTGGGTCCTTGGAAGTCTCTTCTGCACCATTATTTCATTTTTTTCCCCTCCAGGGAAAAGAGCAGGACACACTAGTTGCTTGAAATCTGCTGAACAGACTGTTTGCAGCTGTTAAGGGAAGAAACTCAGCATTCTCAGAGCAGGGGATTTGAACTCTCCTGCTACCTTACTGGAAAACTTCTAGCCAGCTGATCAAGCATTTGGCAGACTTATTTTGACTAGAGATTTAGGGTTCTGCAGTTGTGAAAGAGCACTAAATCTACTGTCAAAATAAGCATCTTGTTTTCAGCTTCTCCTGCTTTATCAGGCAGTTTATTCACCCTGTGATCAAGGGTGATAGAGGTAGGCTAGAGATGATAAATGTACAGGTACAAGTGTATCTTACTTCCATTGAGCTATTAATCTGGTCATTCTGGAAAATGTCTGGTCCTGCAACATCATCACTACTTCCATTTCCACTTCAACCTCCGAAGCATTCAAAGCCCACCTGCTGTCAATAGAGGAGAAATGGGGAGAGACTCAACAGATTCGGAATGGATATGAGAGCTACTTAAAAGTACTTCTGTAGAGACAAACATCAGATCTGGCTGAATATCAATATCCGTAAGGTATTGCTCGATTACTGCCTACTCACATCCTGGCATGTGAGTCCTATTCTCCAAAGACTATCCTATTCTCAAAAGCACTTGAAGGCAGGAGAAGAAGCAGTGGCTGGGAATTAATCAAAGAGAGAAGCAACCTAGAACTAAGGAGAAACTTCCTGACAGTTAGAACAATTAACCAGTGGAAAAACCTGCCTCCAGAAGGGTGAATGCTCCAACACTGGAAGTTTTTAAAAAGAGACTGGACAACCATTTGTCTGAAATGGTATAGGGTTTCCTGCCTGAGCAGGGGGTTGGACTAGAAGACCTCAAAGGTCCCTTCCAACTCTATTATTTTTATTGTTATGTAAATTTGAATTAAAGCCCTAATATAATCTGTAAGGTTCTGACACATGGCATTTTTATACAGGGATTCTATGACATTTTTAAAACAGTTCCAGGTCTTTGTGATGTCACAATATTATTTATGTTATAAAGCCAAGATGATTTATATTTGTTTCAATTCTAGTAGAAACTATAGTAGAATTGTGTCTGTGCATACTCTCTCTCCATCCTCATCTTGGCTTTGTGGAGTCTGTTTTCCCATTTGCAGAAACTCTTAACTCACCAGTCCTCCTGAGCTGACACATTTTCAACTCCACCTCACAGAAATCATAAATATCCTTTGGTAGGCAACCACACAAATGCATACAATGTGAAGTAAGGATGTGAATGATATGTGTGTGGAAGGGGATCCTCGGTGCTCTGTGTCGGTTTGCTTACCACTCAGGGAAGAATAAGCCTATCCCTTATTCGTCTATAGCAGGAGTAGGCAACCTTGGCTCTTTTATGACTCATGGACTTCAACTCCCAGAATTCCTGAGCCAGCTATACTGGCTCAGGAATTCTGGGAGTTGAAGTCCATGAGTCATAAAAGAGCCAAGGTTGCCTACTCCTGGTCTAGAGAATAGACAGTGGAGGATGATATATTTCTGGGTTTCTACTTCTTCCGTAGCACGAGGGCAAAGTCTTGTGCTATTACTGGGCAATGTTGACCTCCAACACAGAAGATGGTGGTATCTGCCACCTTGCCAGTGTAAAAGCTTTTCTATGGTTCAATGTTTCTGATTGGGAGAGGTATCCCATAGAAGCCACTAAGTAATTGAACCACTCCAAGGTTAAAACAACTGATACCTTACCTTGTTTAATAGTTAGCTTAGCTCTGTCATGATCCACCTCAAGGACTTCCAGAGGGGAGAAGTCCAGGAGGCTTAATTTCAGTCTGACTGCTTTGATGCATAACGATTGATGGGGGTCCTGGAGGACAGAGGTGGGGGCAATCATCTAGAGTTATTTGCTAATTTCAGCCACAAGCACCTCCTTAGGGAGGTGAGAATACAGCTGACCTTCATTTTAGTCATGCCCACCTCCAGCCAAAAGATAACATTTGGGATACATTCAGAGTTCATTGGAGTCAGGAGGCCAATAAATTTAAATACATAAATAAAATAGCAAAACTTCTCTATGAAACATAGATTGCACTTGTTCTAGAGGGGCAAAATAAATTAGGGCTTTATATTTTCTACTTAACTAGTTAAAAGGTCCTTTTGCTATTCATAATATGGTATCTCTTTCCCTCTAAAATCTGCTGCATGTGGGAAAATATGTTATTAGCAACAATATTTGTCTTATGCTATACCAACTTTAAGTGAAATATCTTTTTATAGTCATCAGGGGAAGTTCAATTGTAATGATCGACATTATTTAAAAAGAAGCAACTATGGGCTTTTGACCTGTCGGTTTCTTTTTAACACCCAGGATATTTTCAGAGCAGTTGGTATATGGCCTTACCAGGCTGAATGCTGAACCCCACCAGGCTATCCTGTCTGCCTTTGCCTCTCATAAGTTATAAATGTGTGCTTACTCTCTTAAATTTTATATTTCTAAAGTTCAGCATTCAGATTTACTCATTTGTAGTCCCTTCTTCATCTTGGCATCGGACTTCAGCTTCCAGAATACATACTTGTATGTCCACTTCTTGTAAGTGAATTAGGTAGTTTATTAATAGTATTAAGTGATGAAGTCTATTTCATAGGTTCATATTCAGGTTACGTTTTCTTTTATGAAAATTTATTTTTAGAGTTGCATAAGCATTCAGTTCAGAGAACTGAATTTGGTGACATTACAGGTTGTTCCTCATGATCGAATTAAAAATTTGTCAACCAGTCCTTCAGCAAACAGAATGCTATATAGTACTAATACAAAATAGCCTGTCTTCAATGATGAGTCTCATCCTGCCACAGACACAATTACAGCAAATATTTCTGTTCTTATTTTATAATTTCCTTCCACCAAGTATCATTAAGATATGGAAAACACCAATTGATTGTTCTCCTTAAAGTGGGAGGGGCTGGGAGGCAAGCTTAGTTTTGATAGCTAGTTAGATTGGTAGGTTTAGTCATCTGACAAAGCTTACTCTGGTCTGGTACAAATGTTGTCCACATGTGAATTCAAAAGCAGACTGAACATGAGCTGATATTTTTGGATGATTATGATTGGTCATAAAGACAGCCAAATGTTTAGCCTAGATTTGGCTTTTTTGTCACCTATTGAGTCCTTCACAATGCCTTGGGATAGACAGATGTTGTAACAATAACATTAAAGGTAACATTGCAGGATATAAGCTGTTCCAAGCAATGCTGCCTTTTGAGGGCGAAAGTTCATTCTGCAAGCTTGAGGGCTGGCTTCCGAATGTTCTGTTAACAGGCTAGGTAACATCTTCAGCAGTGTTTAGTGGATGTCTGTATCCAGTGGTGGGATTCAGCCAGTTCGCATCAATTCAGCAGAACCAGTAGCTAATTTTTTTTGTTGCCCAGCCCCAGAATGGACTTCCGGAAGAGGCATTCACACAAACAACCAGTTGTTCAAATATTTGAATCCTACCACTGTCTGTATCAATATTCTACTTATATAAGGGCTTCAGGTGTGGGAGTGTCAAGTGAGGGTCTTGTGATGGCCAGGTGTAAGTCATCAGAGAGAGGCTTGTGATGGGGAGGTACTTCAGGTAAGGTTCATTGGAAGCTGTGAATTAGTTGGTCAGGAGTGAGACATCAGTGGGAGGCTGGTAATGGGTCTTGAAGTACCTGAAGTACCTCTCCATCACAAGGCTTTCTCTGATGACTCACACCTGGCCCATCACAAGACCCTAAGACAGAAGCTTGTCTACCCCAAGGATAAAACACCCAGACACAAACTGAGCAATGTGGTATATGCAGTACAATGCAGTGAGCCATGTGCAGATCTGTACATTGGTGAAATGAAACAACAACTTCATAAACATATGACACAACATAGGAGAACAAACCCATCAGGACAAGATTCAGCAGTCCATCTGCATTTAAAAGACAAAGGCCACTCTTTCGAAGACAGCAAAGTCCACATTTTGGACAGAGAGGACCACTGGTTTAAAAGGGGGGTCAAAGAGGCGTTCTATGTCAAAACTGAACAGGCCTCTCTCAACGGAGGGGGAAGGACACGACATCATCCATCTCCAGTCTACAACACAGACCTTTCAGCAGTTCCAAGAAGGCTCCACACACATTTGCACCACTCAGATGACCCTGACGACACTGATAAGCCTCCAGGTAGCACTAACAACTTGCTAAAAGAATGCAAATGAACAGCTGTCTGCAAGGCGTATAAATCTTTCCATTCTCCACCATCCAGTCAGAGCTGAAGAAGCTCCTTGGATGAGAAGTAAAATGTCTTCAAAGAAAAACAAGGAAGTCCAGTTGCCTCATGAAAAAAAGCATCTTTAGGATAACATTTCCATGATGTTTTATGTATGATTAAGCCATCTTCTTGCATCCATCCACCTTAAGAATCTTCTTGCTTCCATCCCCTAGTCAGTGGAATGTTTGCCAGTAGATTGAATTTCCTCTCCTTCCTAACTCTGCATGCCACCTACTCCACAGATCTGTTCTGGAGCTCCTGGGTGACATTTTGAAATTGGTTTAGGGTGTATGAAGGAATGCAGCAGGAAGGAGAGCTGAGCAACAGGAAGCTCCATTGCATCAGTAGAAATCTATATAACATGCTAAGTAACCTATGGCTTGAACTTGCTGACATTTCTTTTTAATTTCTTATTTTATTTTTCAGATCTCAACAGCCAAGTAAAAGGAACTGAAAACAAAAAACGCTACAGTGAGATTTTCCGAAGTTTGGATGCCCTTGAAATTTCAATTGGAAATGCGTACGTATTTTGTGTCATTGTTGTCGTCAGCAGGCACTAAAGACATTTCTTAATGCTGTTGTGAATGTGGTGTGTGATTATGGAGAGATAAGTTCTTATAACCTGAAAGATCCAGGCCATGAGTCAATACTCACCTCTGTGGGTAATGGTTACTAGAAAACCAAGCAGTATAGATTGGGATTATGCTATAAAACTGACACACCATAAGTTTACTAAAGTTATATACACAGAATACTATATTTTTTTCAAGGATACAGAGCCAGAAGATGTTGGAATTTGAGGTGATAATAGAGGTGGTTGGTGTTATATTGCATGTACAATGTTTAAGGAACAAAATATTTTATACTATTTAACTATTCTGCTGCCATTCTTCTGAAGTAAACCAACTAAAATGTATATAAAGAGTGAACTGTTAAGCATAATTTAAATGTCCTGCAATTCATGATTTAGTAGAGATAGGCTGAAGCAGTTTACTATAGTGATTTACTATCAGGACTGGCTTCTGCAAGGAAAATAATACTTCTTTCCTTGACCTCAAGAAGTGTTTCAGTCTAAAGGCTGCATCAAGACTCACACACACACACTGAGTGTTAGCACATCACTCTTGGCAGAGGATAAGTCTGTAGCCTTCAATTGAAAAAAGTCTGCTATTGGATCCTGAACATGACTTCCACTATACTTATAAATTAGAATCATTTGAGTTGGTGGCATACTTTTTCTTGTTGTAACTATTATTTTATTCTTCTTTGGGGCATGCATACACTTGCCTAGCATTTTCAATTCCTGTAGTTTTTGTTTTGGACAGAGGAACTAACAAACTACTATTGTGGCACTGTAAGTACTACCGTAGTTTTCATAGGAATGAAAGGATATACAATATGCTAAATCATAGTCCTTTTCAGCCCGATCTGCTCTCCACTGGGACAGAGTTTTTGCGGGGCTCACAAATATAAGAGTTACTTATAGTCTTTGTTTATTGGAGCACGTTGCCTACTGTTCTACAGATGTTGCCCAATTTCTTTAAGCTATGATTTATAGATATTAGATTACAATTGCCATTATTATTACGCAGCCTGGATCAAGAGCCAGTTGGAAAAGACGGGTTTTATTTTGTAGACACCAATGAGTGGCGATTTCTTATTGAAAGTCCATGTATTTGTATGTAAGTTTATAGTTAGAACAAATGTTGTAAACCACTGTCATACAATTTCATTTGGAAAACTGGATAGCGATATAAGACATTTTCAGTTTTATTAGTAAATGAATGCATATTTGCCCTGTTCTGCAGGTTTGAAATAAATTGTATGTTTATTTAAAGCTGTGCAGGTGCACATTAGGCGCACACTAAAAATAAAAATGCATACATTAGGTGCACAGTAAAAAAAAATCCACTCCCCTCCAGAAATGTTGATCGCCTACTTTTGTCATTAAAAGAATGATATATAATCATGAAATTTCCCATCCTCAGATACTTTTGCTTGCTCCAATCAAAGGGAGGGCAGTGAGAAAGTACTGTAAACCTGTGTGTTCAGCTTTGAGCATATTGCATTCTTAAGATTTGTTATATTTTTTCCTACCGTTGAATTGTGTCCGATTCTTGGAGATTGCCTGGATAAGTCTCTGTAGTTTTCTTGGTAAGGTTTTTCAGAAGTGATTCGCCATTGCCTCCTTCCTTGGCTTGAGACAAAGTGACTGGCCCAAAATCATCCAACTGGCTTTGTGCCTAAAGCGGGACTAGAACGCATAATCTTCCAGTTTCTAGCCTGATGTCTTAACCATTACACCAAACTGTAGTGCCCAAAAGGTTGGGGACCTCTGTGTTAGATGATTATAGTTTTCCAATTGAAACTATGGTTAAGTCTGTCCATATGTTGTGAAAGTTTTCAACTGGCTGCTAGTTGGTGTTCATGGGTGCAGTCGTCAGCCCGTCTGTCCTATGTAGTGACTGTTACAGCCCTTACACTGCATGTCGTAGATGCCTCCTGTTTTTTTTCTTCAGCTACTGGTCTTTTGTTTACTTAAGATGTTTTGGAGGGTTTTAGTTGCTTTGTATGCTATGGTGATGCCATGTGGTTGTAATATTCTATGAATTGTTTCTGAGATCTTTTTGATGTATGGGCAGTGTTGTCTTTTTCATAGCTTGTGTTGATTGTACTGTAGGGGGTTGAGTCGTCAAGCACTTTCAATAAAGTTGCATGGGTATCCATTTTGTTGGAAGTTGTTGTATAAACAGTCGGTTTCCTTTTTCTAGTGTTTTGGATTGCTGCAATGTATTTGTGCTCATCTGAATAATGTTCTTACACAGATCCTCATATGGGAGATTGGGTTGTAATCTTCGTAATGGAACACTTGATTGGTGTGGGTAATTTTACAACAGACTTGTTTGCTGCCCTTTCCTCTGCTGATGAGAATACTTGGGAAGGGTAGTGTGTTGTTTTCTTCTTCCATTATGAATTTTACTCCTTTGAAGATGTTGATTTTTTTAATGTGTCTTCCCCAGTTATTCATGTATTTTTATTATAGCAAAGGTGTCATCCATATTTCAGATTCATACTTTTGGTTGTATGTGTGAGAGTTCTATAGTTTCTGGACACTTCATTACAGTCACTGTTGTATATCCTAAGACTGGTAATCACATTGATGTTCATTTGTTAGTATATTTGTCCATGAAACTGAAAATAGACAGTGAGGCAGAGGTGGGTCATCATTTTGAGTAGTTGGATCTTAGTGTATTTGGTTAGGCTGTGTGTGTATATGTGTGTAGTGCTGCTGCCATGAATTTTTCACTGGTTCTAGGTTTATGGATGTAACAAGTGCTCTGACATTGAATAAAACCATGATGTCCTCTTGTTCTATTATCAGGTCTTTGATTTTCTGTTGGCACAGTTGTGGGGAGTTGATAGAATAGTCACCCCCCCTCTGTGAGATGTGCAAGCTTTTTTGTCAATTCTTTAGTGATGTTGTATGTTGGGGTCCCAGATAACGATACGATTGCATGAAGAGATATGTCGGGCTTCTCTTTGGCCTCCATAAAAGCAGGGTGAAGGAGTCCACTGCTTTTCACCTGCTACTGTTCTTTTTTTGTGATTTGACCTTTCATGATTAGATCGTTAAGGGTTATCTTGGCCAAGTTGTCTAGTTTCTGTATTGGGTTGGTCCTTACTGGAGTATAAGTAAGGTGACCAACCATCCTCCTTTAGGGAGGAGAGTCCTCCTTTTGTAAGTTCTGTCCTCCCTCAAAAAGTGTCCTCCTTTATGTCCTCCTTTTTGATATTTGAAGACTAATCTGCAGGGCTTTTTTTTCCCCTCATAGAACGCTCAGAATGGTGTTCCGGCACCTTTTTTTTTGATGTTTTTTTTTTCAACTTTTGCATGAGCTGTGCTACTCCCACTATTGGCTTTTGAAAGCCAATAGGAATTGCTGCTGAGCATGCCAAAACACCCGGCTGGCAAACTTTGCACATGCAAGTTGTCTGTATTATTGTTGCAATGAATAAAATGTTTCTTTTATTTACAATATTTTTTTCTTCAATTTATTTGTGTCCTCCTTTTCATTATAAAAAAGTTGGTCACCTTAGTATAAGTTTCTTTGTCCTCCAGTAATTCTTTGGTTTTTTTGTATACATTGTGTTTTGTCCAGGATAACTGTAGTAAGGACTTTGTCTGTTGGGAGGATAATGATGGCTTGGTCTTTCTTTAGGTTATGTCCTCTGCTTTGAGTTGGTTCTGATTTTATATTCTTCTGGTCTGTGGTATAATTGTATGTCTTATATTTTCTCGAATCTCTATGGAAAGCTCTTAAAAATGCTGCTTCTAAGGCTGCAGAATTATAACTGATTAGCATCATCTATGTTATAATTGAGGCTTTTGACGAGGAGGAGGTGGAGGATAATGATCATGGATGCTCACCTCAGATTAAATAAATACCAGCACTACCTAGATAACCTTAAGGAACAATTGGAACAAACTGTGTTCCCAAAACACACAAAAATGCTGAACCACCAGGAACACACATCCCTAGGACAAGCTGGAAAAAGAAAATGAAAGTCGAAGCCAAATTGCTCAAGCTAAATTCCACAAAGAAGTGCCTGAATTAGAATGAGTTGTCAATATGTCTAGTAGTGGTTCACTATCTATTGCAAAACACAATACCCTACAGAAAAGCCTCAACTATAACATAGATGATGCTGATTGAGGTGGACTGAGATGAAAAGAATCCTAGATGATAATAAACATAATAAGTAGAGAAGGATTCACTGTCCTACATTAGGGCTCAATTCTGTCTCCCAGCTTTGCACAATGATATGGGCTGTTCAGTACTGTTTTGTACTAATGAAGAATAGTGCATTTTGCCTTTTAAGTAATCTCTCCTATTAATTTTTTCCAATTTTTAGGGCAATTGAAATGTTTAGTGATGATGCTGATGACAACAGGAATGAATCTTCAAACTCACAGTCTGAAAAAGTACAGGTAGAAATAAGTTATCTTAATTCTGACTAAGAATAATAAGAATGTGTGCTGTTTAAGTTTGTGCCATCTGAGAGAAAGAATAAATATATATTTTTCCTTTGCAAGATAAATTACAAGATCTGACCCAGTTATGGATTTGGCAGGGATATACAATTTTCTTTAGGAAAATACGCTTGCCGCATCTAGTTAATGACATAACTTTTTTAAAAATATATTTTTTTCAGTTATACCTATTATCACACAAGTATCTGCTAATAGGACTGTGTCACATGCATTTATGTACTGAGGTGATGAAATCTCTGGAAGTCTTCAGCTGCTGTTGGGAGTCCTTACTTCAGGCATGTCAAACTCACGACATCACATGACATGTGGGCCGGCAGTTTAATATGCCTGCCTTAGTTGATAGAAGATTGAAATGTTGGGCACTGAATAGTATTTTTGCATATCTCTCTCTCTCTCTCTCTCTCTCTCTCTCTCTCTCTCTCTCTCCTTCCCTCCCTCCCTCCCTCTCTCCCTCTCTCTCTCTCTCTCTCTCTCTCTCTTATTATCTAGATAATTATTATCTTTTAGATAATAATTGAAAGTATCCAAGAGAAAACATCTGAAAATGCACACTATGCCTGCCTAAAAAAATTATAATAGATAAATTTGCCAGTAAGGAGTAAAACTAAAATGATAATAGTGATGAGGATATAGTGTCAAATAAGAGTGGAAATCTGAGTGTAAAAGAAAAAAAATCTACAAAATGTAAAACAAAAATGACTACAAAAATAAGAAATATTGTTCCTTTTTAGATAGTAATGAGATTTACTTGTGTACTGATTAATTTAATCCTACTCCAGAATATGTCTTTTGCGCTGAAGAGACATTTCTTGATCAAACATAGTCCTCTTACTGGCACACCTCAATTTTACTTTGAGAGACTTTTACATTCTAGAAAATATCAGTTTGAAATTTGGTAAAACTCAGTGTCAAATAAACCAGCTTTTTAGTAGCTGAATTGATAGCTAAGATTTTGAAACCTCATCCAAGCCCAGAGATGCTTATACTCCCAGTTCACCATGCTGAATTAAAGACAGGATATGATGGTAAGACAGTAGAATACAGATAGTCCTTATTTAGAGACTGTTTCATACAGCAACCAAAAAAATAGATTAACAACCAGTCCTCAGATTTATGACCTTTGTAGATCTGTAAAGGTAAAGGAAAGCTGGAATAAGATCATAAGCACAGGTGGTTTCATTTAATGACTGCTTTGCTTAACAATCAAGTTGTGGTTCCAATCGTGGTTACTAAATGAGCACTACTTGTAGTTTTTTCTGTTGTAAAAAACTTGAGGGAACAATAATAGGTTAAGATGTTACTACCCTGACATATATATATTGATTTGCTTTGGAAATTCTGTGCTGCAATATTTACATTGAATACCCATGTTTCTCTGAAAATAAGACCAGGTCTTATTTTCCTTTTCCTTCAAAAGAGGCACCAGGTCTTACTTTGGGGGGATGTCTTATTCACCTCTGGCACCAACATCCCCACCCAGCAGGTCCACTTCTTCTGGGGCTGAAGGAGCAGCTTCATTCTGCAGCTGCACTCAGGCCTGCATTTTGCAATCAGGCCTTTCCAGAAGGCCTCTGCAGCCGAGTACCAAGCTATGGATTCAATACATAACTCGGTCCTTGGCTGCAGAGGTCTTGCAGAACCGAGCTATGAATTGAATCCATAGCTCAATTCATGGCTGCAGTGGCCTTCCAGAAAGGCCTCTGACTGAGAAATGCAGTCCTGGCTGTAGGAGACACCTTAGAAGAAGTGGGCCAGGGAGGAGACGATTGGCTGCAAGGTAAGTGGGTGCAAGGCGCGTGGGGCAACTCCACACCCCTACCCCTGCCCCATCTTGATTTTTAAGTGTGTGCCTCGCCCCCCAAACTAGGACTTAATTTTGGGGTAGGGCTTATATTAGGCCCACCCCAAAAATCAAGCTAGGGCTTATTTTCAGGGTAGGCCTTACTTTCGGGGAAACATGGGTATGTTGAACTTTTCTTGGTTGGGACAATAAAATGATTTATTTGGTTGGGGAAAATGCATTATAATTACATGTTGGTTTCGGCTTTGTAAAGCAAGTCGAGGACTACCTGTATCAGTTTTTCTGTAGAACCACTACCTGCTCTGTCCCAGATTCTAGATAGCATTTTAGTTTTTGAGGCTTATGCCCCCCAAAACTATGCATATACATATGGACAAATACATAGATGATGGAAATGTATCTTACTCCAATATTTCTTTGCTTCATCACATGTCCACCATTTACATTTCCAACATTCATTTGAGATACCTTTATACATTCTAGATAACCTATCTGCTGTTAAATACCAATGATATATCATCTTATAAAAAATTTCTTTTAAATTATAATTTAGTGTGTATTTTAAGCCTCTCGTCCACGTTCTCCCATTGTTCAAGCATCACGTTATATCCAAAATTCCTTGCCTACTGAATCATACAATGTTTTACATGTTCACTTTCCAAATTCAATTTCAATAACGTTTTATAAATCTTAGCAATAGTATGTTCATCACTACTACATGGTAAAATTTCCAATTCATTTTTAACAAAATCAAACACATAAATCTTTTTATCTAGTTTAAATCTTTCTTTCAGTTGTAAGTGTGTAAACGGTGGCAGACATGACCTTCTGATTCTAATTCTTCCTTAGACTTGAGAGTGTGATTACCAAAATTAAAATTATTTTACCATAAGTCTACCAGTCCAGCTTCACCACCATTTCTTTTCTTTAAAAAAGTTTCTTGGGGGGGAATACCCAAAGAGGCAACTTTGTAAAGAACCTTGTTTTGTATTTATTACAAACTCTTACTATGGCACATCTAACAAAATGATTACTGAAATCAACATTTACTTTGACTTTATCAAACCATAAATAACTGTGCCATCCAAACCTTAATTAATGACCTTCTAAATCAAGTGATCTCTTTTTCTGGCTATTCACCTACGCTTTTAGGCCAGACCAAACAAGAAGCATCAAAATATAATTTCAAATCTGGTAAACCCAAGCCCCCTTTTTCCTTAACATCTTGCAATAACTTATATCTAATTCTTAGTTTCTTCCCTTGCCATGTAAACTTGGAAATATCCCTTTGCCATTGTTTAATGGAATATAAATTCCATTGTTTCATGGAATATCAATTGTAAGTATTGGTAATGTCTGAAACAGAAAGAACATTTTTGGTAAAACGTTCATCTTAATTACAGAAATTCTATTCAGTAGTGATAAATGTAATGTGTCCCATCTTTGTAAATCTTTTTTAATATCATTCCAGAGAGGCACATAATTATTTTGAAAGAGTTTTGTATTTGTGGTTGTCAACATGAACCCCAAATATTTCACCTTTTTCTTGACCTTAAAACCAGACTTTTTAGTCAATATATCACAATCCTGAGAAGACATATTCTTAATAAGCATTATTGTTTTCTGTTTGTTTATTTTAAAACCTGTTAAAGCCCCAAATTTTATTTAATTTCCTCATCAAATATTCTATATTATTTTTGGGTCTTGCAGGAATATAACCAAATCATCAGCAAATGCCCTCAATTTATAAACTTATCCCATTTTACGACCTTTCTTGGCACAGTTGCTTAAGTTAATCTCTGCAGTTGTTAAATTAGTGACTTGTTAATTAACTGAATCTGGCTTCCTCATTGACTTTGCTTGTCAGAAGGTTGCAAAAGGTGATCATATAGCCCCGGAACACTGCAACCGTCATAAATATGAGTCAGTTGCCAAGCATCTGAATTTTGATCATGTGACCATGGGGATGTTACAATGGTCATGTGAAAAACGGTCATAAGTCCCTTTTTTGAATGCTGTTGTAACTTTGAACTGTCACTAAATGAACTTTTGTAAAGTCGAGGACTACCTGCATTAAATCACTAAAGTCAAGTATGCCTCATCCTCCACTTAAGATATAAACATCTTCTCCCTGGAATTCTATCAATGACTGATTGATTGGGTCAGATATTTTAAAAAATATCACCCAAGTTGCAGGGAAGGGGTAGCAGAATAATCTATAAATTGCACATTCGGAATTTTTGTTATTTTATTTTAGTGCATTTTATTTTAATGTTTTCATATTGATATACTGAGTAGGCATTTGACGTGTAATAATATGATTCGCTCATATGTCGAACTTTGGGAATATGATTAATTAAGCAGGAAAATCTATTTATTATCCAAATTCCATTAAAATGCCTAAAATATAAAATGGGAGATTTATGTAACCAAACTGATTTGATTGGGGTTGGATGGGAAGAATATAATTTCATTGTAATTCTCATTCTCAGTCATAACATCTTAGATTCTGCTTTGTAATCCAGTACCAGTTTGGGGAAGTCTGTTTCCCACTAAAATAATATTTTTTTTAAAAAAATCCACATATTTTTATTTTGCAGCCATATGAACTTTTCTGTAAACATGAAAGAAATTTGGAAGCAGCAGATCCAGCAAATATGTCAGGTATCTACAGAAGAATTTAATTGAAATATTTGGCATGAATTTTGATTTCCATGATTATTTTATTTCAAAAATCATATATTGGTTTTTGCTATTACTTTGCAATGAAGATGGTGGGATAGAAGAGTGACAGACCGTTGCCCTCAAATCCTATGTTTGGTTTCCAGGCCACATATTGACTAACTATTTTGGAAAGCTGGAGAATGGAGTAGTTGAAGTTTAGCCCAGGGCTTTTCAACCAGCGGTACGAATACCACCTGTGGTACATTGGCACCTGGCAGGTGGTACGCAACCATCCTAGAAAAGTGGTAGTGGGGGAGGGGAATTAGCTGAATCGGTGGCAGCACTGCACGAGCCTGAGCGAGAGATGGCTGGAGCTGCAGGGCTGTCAGGGCTCAGCGGAAGCGCCAGGATCAGCTCTTCTTTGGGACTGTCAGGACTCACTGGAAGCGCCAGGATCAGCGCCAGGCTCCAGCTGGAGCTCGGCGCTGATCCTGGTGCTTCTGCTGAGCCCAAAAGAAGTGCTGATCAGCTGGAATATTGCAGCATCTCCAGGGTCTTGTGATTTACATTCAGATGCTTGGCAACTGATTCATATTTATGATGGTCACAGTGTCCCAGGGTCATGTGAAGTGACCAAAACCTGCTGCAACCACCCAGCATATGGCGGGAATAAAAACCAAACACCCCCCTCCTCACCCCCGCTGCCAATCCTCAACAGAAATGCTCACAACAATGAAAACCTCGGACAGGAGGAAGAGCACCGCTGGGCAGGCAGGCAGGTGTCTTGCTCAGCTGTGGCCTGGGGGGGCACTTTTTTCAGTGCCATTGTAACTTCGAACAGTCACTAAGCGAACTGTTGTAAGTCGAGGACTACCTGTACTTTATCACTTTTTTCCTTTTTTTTTTGGTCATCCAAGTTTTTGACACCTTGCTAGGCGACTGGTGGTACTCGGATGTTGCCATATCCTAAAAGTGGTATAATGGGTGAAAAGGTTGAAAAGCCCTGCTTTAGCATAATAAACAGCAAGTTATGAAGTTCTTAGTTTGATGACTGAAGATGTTGCCAAAGAAATTATAAAGTATCTTGATTATCATTTAAAAAATCTGTATCATATGTTTACCAATAGCCTACTACTACCTGAACAAAATGGCAACCTGGTCATACAGGGTACCCAATGTCCAGAGTTCTTATGAGATGGGCAGTTTTTGTGAATGTGATTTGTAAATAAATAATTTACATGATGATAATTCTATTTTATCTATGATTACTAAAAGGGTAGTCTAATTAATTTGTCTCTAGAAAGCACCAAATTGGGGACCAAATTAGAACTTCTGATCAGGGCCAAGAAGAGTTAGAGTGTTTGCAAAGGAGGCTTTTATTATGAACTATCTCTTTGTCAGTCACATATTAAGTTCAGAAAAGATTTTTCAGCTAGAAAGCCAGACTGGAAGGCAGGAAGAAATTGTATTTTGGAGCTGTGAATTGAGGGAGGCTTCAAAGAATTTATACAGATCAGGAAGCCTGTGCAGAAGATAATAAGGCTTCTAGAAATAAAATGATTGATGGGTAGGAAAGCAAGATCAAGCAGTGGAAAAGCATGGAGGTGTATTGTCAAACTGACTGTTTAAAATGGAAGAAAGTACAAAGACCGAAAGGGGAAGTAATGAGTCTCCAGGGAAAATGAGGACAGAGAAAGGTTGCTATAGAAAGCTTACAGTTAGCCCCAGAAGACTTACAGTTTTCCACAAAAGCATTGCTTGGGTTTACACAGGGTACTAAGACAGTTTAAGTTTACAAACCATAATGAATGTGTTCACAGATGCTAAATCATGTAAACCAGTGGTTCTCAACCTGTGGGTCGGGACCCCATTTGGGGTCGAACGACCATTTCACGGGGGTCGCCAAACCACACAGTCCGCCATTTTTTCCCCCTTTTCCTTAGCTGTGCTACTCCCTTGTATTCTATTGGCTTTTGAAAGCCAATAGAATAGACTCTCTTGAACAGAGTCTAATTCTATTGGCTTTCAAAAGCCAATAGGAATTGTCCAGGCTGTCTCTGCCCTGCTGAGCCCGCCAAAAGTCCCATTCTGCAAACGGTGCTGCACCAGTTGAGTAGTCCTCGACTTACGACCGGTTGAGTAGTCCTCGACTTATGACCGGTTGAGTAGTCCTCAACTTACGACCAGTTGGGGGTCGCGGCATTAAAAAGGTTGAGAACCACTGATGTAAACCATATTAAAGCTTGCTTCAGTGTGTGAATCTAGCCACAGTAGTTCTGTGTTCAGGTCTAGGCTTCAAATATGTTTGTCCTGAATATCCCTGACACAAGAAACTTACTCAGATTGTGGGATCTTTGGCCTTCCAGGATTGCTGAACTGCAGTAAGCAGCTTCAGTCAATATAGGCATATGGTGAGAGATTTACATGTTATATTCAGCAACAGCTAGAGGGGCACAGTTTTCCTGTTTGGCCAATAAGAAATTCCTGTACCGTTAACAGACGAGTCCTTTGTTAATGAAAATATTGATTTTGTTGGCTGTGTTCTGAAATCAACCTGATAATTTTCTCAGTTGAAGAAGCTGATGAGATGCTGATCAAATGTGAAGGTGGTGTAGAAGCAGCCTTAAGATATGCCAAAATGTGGTGCAAATACATCAAGGAGCTGTTGAATTGGATTGACAAACGTATTTCTTATGGTAAGTATATATATTTTTTCTCAACATCTATGCTTTATGGAAACTTGGTAAATGACTCTGACCCAGTCATTCTTCCCCTCATAGATAATATACTTCTAGATTTCTTCAGTAGTGGGACTATTCCTCCAGGCCATCTTGAGGTTAAGGAAACAGAATTTTGCATTAAAGATAGATTTCCAAAATTTTGAGGTTTTAATCCTGCTTAGCTGAAATAAACTTCCTACTCTTATCATGGATTTCTGATGGGGATTCAATCGCTTCATGTGTTGGTTATTTGCAGAAATTGAATTTGCAAAGAACATTCTGAAGATAGCAGAAGCTGGAAGAAATATCATTTTTCCTCAGGTAATGGTTCCAAGTTTTGTCTTCTGTGTGTTCATTTTGCAATCCATATCAAATCACTTTGGTGCAAGTGTTATAAAGAGTTTGTACATAAACATAAGCATTTTCTTTTTAAATCATCCCTTATATTTGTGGGCAGGAATGTTGACATCTCATTTTCAAGCCCCATTTTAATAACAATAAAAAACATTTTAATAACAATCTTAATAATGAATTCATCCCTAGCCACAGAAGCACGGGCAACAATTATTTATATAGAAATAGCACATGTTAAAAATGTCCCATTGTAGTTGTTGAGGTAAAATGGACTTTACCCTCATAAAAAGACAACATATGACCAAAACATTGGATGAAACATTTTAAATAAATGTTTGTCCTCCTGATAAATCAAAAGCCTGACACCAATGCCGTTTTAAGTATTATTTACATTTAACAGTAAGAGCTGAACATATGTAACTAAGAAAGCTAAGTAACATTCAGCCGTGTTCTATGGCAGAGTTTCCCAAAGAGATCAATACTCCTCAACTTACAACTGTTTGATTAGTGGGCAGTTTGGAAGTGGTCTAGGTTTCATAAAACTTCATACTGTCAGGTTTACTTCATATTATGGCAGTTGCTGTCAACTATTTTTGTGTGGTTGGCAGTCTTAACAAAAGAAATTCAATCTCTTGGAAGCACCTGTGCTAGTGATGCACAGAAAGTTGTTGTAGTACTTGGATAATTTACTCAAGATATCCCTATGTGCCACATAGTAAGATGTCAGCATAAGCTATGTCTTATGCATAAGGACTGAGCCTAGTGCAGGTATCCCGAACCTCCAGGCCACGGTTCTCTACCGGGCCATGAGCAGTTCAAAACCGGGCTGTCTGAAGCAGCAAGCAAGCATGTGCACGCACAGTCCATTTGCATGCGCAGCGGGCATGCTGCTTATGCAAATGGAGCTGTACACACGCATGTGTTTGCCTGCCGCTTGTGTGGAACCATCCCCTCCCCCCCACACTAGTCAACAAAGCCGGAAAGGCTGGGGAACTCTGGCCTGGTGAGTTCCCCAGGCTAGAGACAACTACTATGGAAATATGCCTCAACTACCCAAGACTCATGCCAAAGATCAAAAGCCTGAGGTTTAAACCATTGAGAATGTGTACATGTTCCTTTCATTTTTGCAAGGTAGTGAGAAGCAGCTGTTGTGTGTGTGGCTTTGTTCTTGTCTCCTATATGGATTCTAATTTATACTAATCCCAAGTGGGAATCCTGGCACTGTGGCAATGGCACTGAGTGCAGAAGGAAAGCCCGATGTTATAAAACTGAAAAGGGATATTACTTTTAATGCTGGATCTGACAGAGAGCCTGGAAATGACTACCTCCTATTAGCTAGAACGTGACTATTCCACACCGAGCAATCTAACCGCTTGAGCATGTTGGTCAATACCTTTTTCTCCCCAGAATGGTATGCCTCTCCAGACCCTCTACACCTTGGTTATGGAGCATGACATAAAAGCAGGGAATGTAGCCATTGAAACAGCTGGAACTTTGCATCTGAGAGAATATTATGAGGTACATCATTTTTCTGATTTAGATAAAGCATCCCTAGGCCAGAGCAACAATTTAAAATGCCCCGTGAGTCTATAATGCTAGAATCTTGGTCCTAAGAGATCGTGGCTGGAACAACTGCATTTGAAGAAGATGGGACTGGGAAATATAAATGAAATATTAAAACTGGGGGAATTGGTTTGATCAATTTTCATCAGCATCCATGTTAATTCAGCATATGGTTCCCCCCCCCCGAATGTCTACTTAATATAACATTTTCTCCTGCTATGTACACCTAACAATCCTCTTTCTGTTTTAGCCTCTTTGGGCCAAAAGGAATGAAATTGAGAAATGGCGGAAGGAATTCAAAGATCAGTGGCAGAAAGAACAGAAAAGGATGGTAAGAACAGAGCAGGCATGAAGTTGCAATCAGGTTTGGTCTTTTGGCAGATATGCGTGGGCCAAAGGTGTTAAGGTACTATACATGCTGCTATACATTCAGGATTTCAAATAAATTTCTCGGCAATTGAAGTTTAGGTTGGGAGATAAATTAGGAAATTTTTATCCCACACTTAGAAAGTACCAGGACAGAGAGGGATGGACAAAGGTTCACATCAATGGCTTCCATGCAAAATCATGTTTCTTATAACCAGTGTTTTTTTTCTAAAAGTGGTGACGGAACTCACACACGTCATATAGCCCGCCTTGCCTACCCTACAAGGTTCCATCCAAAAAAGGTGCCGGAACTCCGTTCTGGGCATTCTATGAGAAAAAAAGCTCTGCTTATAACCCAAATAGTCCAGATCTACACACTGAAAGAAAGCGCTCTATTATTTTTCCAGGGAGTCTGTTCTCAGGAACATTATTTCATAACTAAAATTTACCTTTCCTTCTACTTATGAAGGTATAGATGAAAATCTGTAGATGGTAAACTACCAAAATCTACTTATCCATCCATGGCAAGTGTTTGAGTGTAATGGCTGATGCCAAAATGAACCTTTCAAATCTAGGTTAGAATATGGCTTTACATCAGTGTTTCTCAACCTTGACAATTTTAAGGCATGTGGACTTCAACTTCCAGAATTCCACAGCTAGCCATTAATGTTCATATCCAGGTTATGATAGCTAAGGTAAAGAAACTTAGGTGATTGACACAAGTTGATTTAGGCATCTGCGTTTAGGTTTTTTTAAAAAAATTCATTGCTAAACTGCAATTCTCTTGCATGGATTAGTCAAGATCTGCAAACCTATGGTTTCTAAAAAATATTAAACATGATTTTTAAAAATGAAAACAAATCAAGTATAGATTGACACTCTGAGGCTGAATCAAATATGACACCCAAAATGAGGAAACTGTGCTCTTTTTTCAACACCCATTTTGAAGTCCATTTAGAATACAGGTGGCCCTTGACTTACGACCCCAACTGAGCCCCATATTGCTGTTGCTAAGTGAGACATTTGTTAAGTGAGTTTTGCCCCATTTTATGACCTTTCTTGCCACTGTTGCGAATGACTGCAGTGGTTAAGTTAGCAACATGGTTGATAAGTGAATCTGGCTTCCCCATTGACTTTGCTTGTCAGAGAGGTCTCAAAAGATGATCATGTGACTCTGCGACACTGCAGGTGTCATAACTATGAGTTTGTTGCCAAGCTTCTGAATTTTGATCACGTGACTATGGGGATGCCACAACGGTCATGAGTGTGAAAAAAAATCATAAGTCACTTTTTTCAGTGCCGTTGTAACTTTGAGCAATCACTAAATGAACTGCTGTAAGTCAAGGATTATCTGTACTTTGCAAAGAAGTTGCTTCTAATTTTTAGGTGTCAAAATATTCAGTTGTCCTACTATGCAAGCACATGTATCATAGCCGGTTAAGATTCTGTAATGCTTTGAAAATAAGCACAGAGATAAATAAACAATCTCCAGCTCTGACCACTTAGCAAAATCTTTGTTCCATCATCATCTAAGAGCAATCGGAGTTGTGATTATTTTTAAGCTGCATTTGGAAGGTTGGGCTGCAAGAATTACTCACGAAGGAAGGGAGGCGTATGTGTCCCAGGATAATGTTGCGGGGTCCAATCTGGATCGGTCACCAGGATCAGATTGGAACCTGCTACAAGAATCACTCTTTAAGCCTTAAAAAAACCACAATAACTTAGAGAAGGCATTTATTATTAACATTATTACTGAGTGCTGGGACAGACTACCCTTTGTTTTTGTTTTTTCTGAGAAATTCATGTCAGCTGCAGATGACCATGTGACATAAAACTAGATTAGGGACATTCTAAATATTTTTGTTCCCCTTGGCTTGTGAGAATCTCTAATGGTAAAGTCAAATTAATTATCCTATTTAGTACTATATTAGGTATTTTCGTATTGTGCTTTACATGGATTTACCTGACGATATTCAATTGAAAAAAATCTGCACAGTCTGTGCTGATGTAGTCGTGATAAGGGATAGATAATTATTTGAACTGAACTGAATTGACTTTATTTGGCCAAGTGTGATTAGACACACAAGGAAGTTGTCTCCAATACAGAAACTCTCAGTGTACATGCAAAGCAGCAGAATAATAATAATATTAATAAAAGGAGAGAGTAAAGAAGATACTAAAGATAAATAATACTATATAATATGTGGGTACGTATACATAGACATTAGACAGCACTGTGAGAATTAGATGTTCAGCAGAGTGATGGCACAAGGGTAAAAACTGTCCCTGTGTCTAGCTGTTTTGGCATATAATGCCCTATAGTGCCATCCCAAGGGAAGGAGTTGAAACAGTTTGTGTCCAAGATGTGAACGATTTGCAGATATCTTCTCAGCCCTCCTTCTGACCCACACAATACACAAGTCTCCTATGGAAGGCAGGCTGGTTGCCATTTTTTTTGTCTGCAGGCCTAACTATCAGTTGAAGTCTGTGTCTGTCCTATTTGGTTGCTGTACCAAACCAGACGGTTACCAGAAGTACGAATGACAGACTCAATATTTCCTCTGTAGAAGTGTATCAACAGCTCCTGGGGTGGTCTGAACTTCCTGAATTGACGCAGGAAGAACATTCTTTGTTATACCTTTTTAATGATGATTCTATTGTTACGTGTCCATTTCAAGTCCTTATATTTTATAAAATATTATAAACATAGACTGTATTTTATAATCAGCATAGTTGTTATCAAAGCCACTTTGGAGTAGTGGTGAGGGCACCAAACTAAAAACCCAGAGACCATGAGTTACAGTCCCACCTTAGGCACAAAGACAGCTGGGTGCTCTTGAGCCAATCGCACGCTGTCAGCCCTGCGAAGCAAGCAATGGGAAAATCACTTCTGAAATCTTGCCAGGAAAACTGCAGGGATTTGTCCAGGCAGTCGCCAGGAGTCAATACTGACTTGAAGGCAGTAAAAAAGACAAAGTAATTATAGTCAGTTTGATTTAGTAACTAAATGGTTGGCCACTACACTTTGCATGATTATTGTTGGCAAACATTAGAAGAGGAAGTGTTATATACTTCTGGGGTAAGGTAAGATATAATACAGGTAGTCCTCAACTTACAATCACAACTGAGCCCAAAATTTCTTTTAATAATAATAATATTTTAATAATAATATTAATAATTATTTATTTATTTATGAGACTTATATACCGCTTTAAGTGCAAGCACTCTCTAAGCGGTGTACACCAGTAAGCAATGTATATATATATTTACATTGCCCCCAATAATCTGGGTCCTCATTTTACCTACCTTGGAAGGATGGAAGGCTGAGTCAACCTTGAGCCAGTGAGATTTGAACCGCTGACCTGCTGAACACAGTCAGTTAAAGTGGCCTGCAGTACTGCACTCTAACTGCTGCGCCACCTCGGTAGTAGTAATAATAATAATAATAAAGTTGGAAAGGACCTTGGAGATCATCTAGTCCAACCCCCTGCTCAGGCAGGAAACCCTATACCAGGGCTTTTCAACCTTTTCACCCATTGTACCACTTTTAGGATATGGCAATATCCGGGTACCACCAATTGCCTAGCAAAGTGTCAAAAACCTGATGACAAAAAAAAAAGAAGAAAAAAGTAATAAAGTATAGGTAGTCCTCAACTTACAACAGTTCACTTAGTGACAGTTCGAAGTTACAATGGCACTGAAAAAAGTGCCCCCCAAGCCACAGCCGAACAAGACACCTGCCTGCCTGCCCAGCAGCGCTCTTCCTCCTGTCCGAGGTTTTCATTGTGAGCATTTCTGTTGAGGATTGGCAGCGGGGGTGGGGTGGGGGTGTTTGGTCTTTATTCCCGTCTGCTGGGTGGTTGCAGCAGATTTTGGTCACTTCACATGACCCTGGGACACTGTGACCGTCATAAATATGACTCAGTTGCCAAGCATCTGAATGTAAATCACAAGACCCTGGAGATGCTGCAACATTCTAGGTGATTGGCGCTTCTTCTGGGCTCAGCAGAAGTGCCAGGATCAGCACCGAGCTCCAGCTGGGGCTTGTGCGGTGCTTCCACCGGTTCAGTTCATTCCCCTCCCCCACTACCACTTTTCTAGGATGGTCACGTACCACCTGCCAGGTGCCAATGTACCACAGGTGATACCCGTACCACTGGTTGAAAAGCCCTGCCCTATACAATTTTGGACAAATGGCTGTCCAGCCTCTTCTTAAAATCTTCCAGTGTTGGCGCATTCACAGCTTCTGGAGGCAGGTTGTTCCACTGGTTAATTGTTCTAACTGTCAGGAAATTTCTCCTTAGATCTAGGTTGCTTCTCTCTTTGATTAGTTTCCATTCGTTGCTTCTTGTCCTGCCTTCAGGTGCTTTGCTAAGTAAGATAGTTGTTAAGTGAATTTTGCCCCATTTTTGCCACAGATGTTAAATGAATCACTGCAGTTGTTAAATCAGTAACAGGGTTGTTAAGTAAACCTGGCTTCCCCACTGACTTTGCTTGTCAGAAGATCACAATAGGTCATCACAATGACCCTGGGACACTGCAACCATCATAAATATGAACTAGTTGCCCAGCATCCAAGTTTTGATCAAGTGACTGTGGGGAAATTCTGCAATGGTCGTTAAGTGTGAAAAACGGTCATAAGTCATTTTTAGTGACGTAACTTTGAACGGTCACTAAGTGAACTGTTGTAAGTCAAGGACCACCTGAATTAATAATAATAGAAACCAAGAAACCAAGCCTATGGCAGAGCTACTGCACAATAACAGTTTGCCTCCTCTAATTGCAGAATGATTCCTTGTCTTCGATGCGCAAAGCTCGCCTCCATTACCTCCAGCGCTGTGAGGATTTGGAAAAGGCCAAAGTGCAAAGCGCCAAAGCAGAAGAAGAGTTCCAGGCTGTCACAAGTAGTGGAAACAAGCAATTGGAAAAACGGCGACGTTATCGAGATGAGGTTCAGACAAAGGTAATTGGGTCTTGGGACTTAAAAGTTAAACGTTCTGCCTCTTCACTCTGGTCCCTGAAGCAGATGTTAAGTTTGAGGATTCAGGTCCTCATGACAGCAGGGAAATAATGTAGAAATGTATGGGAAAGACACAGAAATGAATTATAGCTTTTTGTAAGCTTGCTTATAAACTTTTGCTTTTGCGCACCACATATTTATCTGGATGCCATTGATACAGCAACGGGAAAGTGATATGTAGTAAAAGTTATTATATCGTCAGCAGTGATTTTTGAGATGAAATAAAACAATGACAGCCCCTGAACATGAAGAGTCGTACCATTAATTGTTCTGGCTCCTGACTTCTGCAGATTCTGCTCAAAGTCATTGGACCTGCCACAATTCTGTCAGACCAGGAATCTCAAAGGTGCTTTTTTTCAAAAGGCAACTGGAGCATGTTTTTCCCTTGAGGAAGAAGATGTTTTGCTTCTGATCCAAGAAGCTTCATCAATTCTGAACTGGTGATGCTTCTTAGATGAGAAGCAAAACAGCTTCTTTGAGGAAAAAACATAGTCTAGTTGCCTTTTGAAAAAGCATTTTTGAGACAACCATGACCTGGATGACTAAGAATCTCCATAGACACTGTCAGACCAGTTCTTTGCCTTTTTTACTGTAGTCCCCTCCTCCCCACTTATGAACCTGTTAAAATTGATGTGAAAGAACTGGCTACTAGAATCAAGATCATGTGAAGTATTAATACCACTTTACAATGTCTTGGTAAGGCCACACTTGGAGTTTTACATCCAGTTTTGGTCACCACAATGTAAAAAAGATATTGAGACTCTAGAAAGAGTACAGAGAAGAGCAACAAAGATGATCAGGGGACTGAGGCTAAAACATATAAGGAACGGTTGCTGGAATTGGGTATGTCTAGTTTAACGAAGAGAAGGACGAGGGGGGACATGATATCAGTGTTCCAATATCTCAGGGGCTGCCACAAAGAAGAGAGAGTCAAGCTATTCTCCAAAGCACCTGAGGGCAGGACAAGAAGCAACAGATGGAAACTAACCAAGAAGAGAAGCAACCTAGAACTAAGGAGAAACTGCCTGACAGTTAGAACAATTAACCAGTAGAACAACCTGCCTCCAGTAGCAGTGAATGCTCCAACACTGGAAGTTTTTAAGAAGAGACTGGACAGCCATTTGTCTGAAATGGTATACTATAGGGTTTCCTGCCTGAGCAGGGGGTTGGACTAGATGGCCTTCAAGGTCCCTTCCAACGTTGTTGTTGTTGTTGTTGTTATTATTATTATTATTATTATTATTATTATTATTATTATTATTACTACCACTACTACCACTACTACTACTACTACTACTACTTAATCTGTACTAGCTGATTGAAAACCCAATGACCCCCAAGTGGATTTGGGGCCTCCATAGAGGCCATTCTAATCCTTCGCTAGCAAGCATAGGTCAGTAAAGCTCCTTTTTAAGTCAGTTTTTATTTTACTGGGTCTTCAAACCCTAGCTCAAGTTTTATTGACATACATTTTAGGATTACTTTCCGATTACAGTTGTTCTTTTTAACAATATTGATTTTCTTTTCATTGTTGTTTTATAACGTGAATGTGTTGTAACTTGCTCAGAGTCTTTTTAGTTGGGTGAGCTATTATAAGTGTTAAATAAATAAATCAATAAGTGGCAGACAAAGCACTGAATTGCTCACAAGGCATACTTTCAAGAAAGAGAATGTGCTGCTTTAAATCCAGTCAAAAGCAATGAATTCCACATTATGTGAGATCAAGCTGTTTGCATTTACATTTGGTGAACATTTTTCTTGTTGATTTTTTTTTTGGGAGGGAATGCTGGGGAAATGTATGTGATCAAAGGGAAATAGGAAGGAACCAAGCTCTGGATTCTAGACTTTTCTCTGATGGAGAGACAATAAGCTTGTGTGGCTTAGAAACCAGCAATAGTTCCCTGAATGAGGTATAATGTGAAACAAATACAGTTGTCATGACCACCAAGAAAGCCGCTCTTGGCAAAATCATGAATGGTGATAAAAGGAAGTGATTTAGGAGAAGAAAGAAAAACAAAAGAACTGTTGATTATGACATGATATAAGGAGATTAATCACGGAATTTCCCCCAAAGCATCTGAGAAGATTACTAACTCATAGAGAATACTTCTCTGTATTATAGTAATGGAGCTGGCTCATTATATCACACAAAATGTTTTCTTCCCCTACTGTGCAAGTCTTGTATAGCACAGAATGAAAGATGAGCAGGTTTCATGCAAATGAAAAAAAGCATTGCTCTTGGGGAGTGAGGGGGGGGGACTTACTAGAGCAACTTACTAGACCAGTGATGGCGAACCTTTTAGAGACCAAGTGCCCAAACTGCAACCCAAAACCCACTTATGCATCGTTGAGTGCCCGGTGGGTGTAGCCCATTGGGTGGGTGTGGCCCATTGGGTGGGCATGGCTGCAGTGGTAACAGCAGACTGGGTGGGACTAAAAAGTTCAGTCAATCAATTTCAACTTTGCAAGATCTTTTTTTTCCCACGAGAAGTTGAAATTGACTGATTGAACCTTTTTTTTTTTTTTTTTTGCACAGGGCGGTGGAAGCCTGAAGCGAAAAGGTTTTATAAAACCCAGCTGAAGGCTGGGGCGACGGCGTGCATGCCCACAGAGAGGGCTCTGAGTGCTGCCTCTGGCACCCGTGCCATAGGTTCGCCACCACTGTACTAGATCTTCCTTCCCAGCTACTCCATTGATTTGGCCTGGGAAAAGCTGGAAAGAAGATTGCAAATGGTGATCATATGACCATGGAATGCCACAAGCGCAAATGTTGTAAATGTGATCTGGCTATAAAGCACCCAAATTGCAATCTGTGATGGCTGGGCAACTGGACCTTCAAGGACCAGTTGTAAGTACGACTTGTCAATGCTATTGCAACTTTGAATAGTTGCTAAATAAGTGGTCAATAAGAAGAGATTTATCTGTAGTATTTGTGAGAAGAATCTGAGTGCCCTGGTAGATCACAGATTAAGCATCAATCAGCAGTGTACTGCAGCTGCCAGGAGAGCCAATGTAATCTTGGACCGCATCCACAGAGGTATGCTGTCACACTCATAAGAAGTGATAGTTTCATTCTGTGTTGCACTGGTCAAACCCTACTGGGAATACTGGGTCCAGTTCTAGTTGTTTTACAATACAAAAAGGTACCGTAGGAGAGAAACTAGAAAGAATGTGGAGGAGAACAATGACAATGATAACAGGCTTGGAGGTTAAATCCAATGAAGAATGGTTGAAGGAACTGGATATGTTCTTTTTAAAGAAGAGAAGAGGTGGTTGCAGTTTCCAAAAACCCTAAAAGTCTGTCCCAGGAAGTGGTGTGAATTTATTCTCAATAGCTCCCACAGGTAGCAAATGTAGCAATGGGGGGAAGCTTTATAGAGGCAGATCCACACTTGAAATAAAGAGGGATTTCTTGACTGAGAAAGCAATTAAACAGTGGAACAGCCTGCTTCCTTGGAGTCATGAGTCCTGCATGATTGGAAATTTTAAAAAAATGCTACATAGCCATTTGACTTTGAGGATTCCTGTCCCTGGCAAGGGGGTTGGACTAGACCTCCCAAGTTTCTTCCAGTCTTATAATTCTATAAGCGCCCTGAGAAGACTCAATTATAGTTGAATTGGAGGTGGATGTAGGAACATGTAAGAGTCTCTGTTGTCACCAATAAAGCTTTGGAAGCAGAATTTTCCATATCTTGCATCTTGTCTTGGCCTGTTCATTCCAAAGCATATGGGACAGATCTATATTTATAACAGAAGGAGATGATGATTTGGCAATAATTGTAGACACTGGGATTAATTGCACAAAGGACAACTGCCCAGCTGCCCTCAGTGAGAAGATTTGGACTCTGGCTCAATAGATGATGGTTTTGCTGTCCCAAGCTGGAGGAAAATGGTGAGGAAATGAACAGGTTGAAAAGAGCAATATGGTGGTTATGGAAATGACTTTATAGCAAGTGATTCCTAAATCCAAATTTGTTCCTGGAAGCTAAAATTATAGCCCATCAAGTAAGGAGCATAATGCTTGCATGCATTGCTGAAGAATATGATTCTGAGGATCCTGGTTCTGTGATTTAGACTGAAGAAAAAAACACTATCATGATCATGAATAAGAACTATCAGAATATAACGATAATGTATACTAGTAATCAGTCCTGGAAATAACACAGGTGATCATTAAGTCTTTGAAGAAAGGGGAAGAAGGAGATGCTTAGTCTCAGAGTGGATTAGTCCTATTGTAGTATTTTCTATTCAGAAATAAACCACAAAGTGTCCAAAGGCAGGACAACTGCCACAGATCCAGCAAATTTTATTTGATGTCAGAATGAACTGAACTGCACAAATGATTTCAATTTATCCCTAAAATAAACTATACAATATGGATGCTTACTTATTTTGGGCACAGAACTGGCATTCACATCAGTTCTTACTGCCATCCCCACAGTGAAATACTTCATCCATTGGCATATCCAAGTCAGCTTTTCCATTCCTTTCATCAGTTTTTATTTCATGCACATAGGTTCAGGAATCAGAAGTCACATATAGAAGCTGTGTTTCTGAAGCCAACAATCGTCGTTTGGAGTTGAAAAAAGTCCGGGAGAGAATTATCTCTCACATTCGCAAGCTAATGTATCAAGGAGATGAAATGCTGGTGAGGGTAAGTTGTGATTTATGGCTAGATGTTTCTCTTGACTTCCTCCTTCACTTCCCAACTTCACTTTCCAAAGACAGGGTGAGAAGTGGGGGGGGTGCTCACTTCTCTAACTTAAGCAGTTATTAAATAGGGGTGAACAGAATAGCCTAATTAAGTCAATTTATGCACATAACTGAGACTGAGTGAATTTCCAAACTTTTACTATCGAAAGATAAGTAGAGAGATACTGTGGCAGATTCTCCAAATTTCAAAAATCATTCTAAATTCTAAAAATCAAGGAAATGTATTCATTTTGTATGTGTATATCTTCAGGTCTCCTTGAGGATGTTCAAGCTACAGCATGCTCAAGCAGAACGAATCCCTGTAGGATACCAGAACTTGACTGAATTCTGCAAGCCCTACAAGATTGGTGAAAAATATCTGGAATTTATTCAAAAACTGCCCAAAAAAGAGCTTCCCGTTGAGGTGTACAGATTTGAAGAATTTGCAAATTCTTCAGGGCAGAGGTAAGGAAGCATAACCCTTTTTCTTCTGTCCTCTGACCATCCATCCATGAGCATTCCCATCCTCTTATAAACCAGGGGTAGGCAACCTTGGCTCTTTTATGACTCGTGGGCTTCAACTCCCAGAATTCCTGAGCCAGCCATGCTGGCTCAGGAATTCTGGGAGTTGAAGTCACAAATCATAAAAGAGCCAAGGTTGCCTACCCCTGTCTTATACCCATCAGTTCTGATCAAAAAAATTTATTACATGGCCCTGAAGATTTACGGCAATGGGGAAACATGTGCCCTTCCAGATGTTGATGAAATATACTGTAGATCTCAGCAGCCCTAGCCACCATAGCCAGTTGTGAAGAATGCTAGAAATTACAGGTTCCACAACATCTGAGAGCTACAGGCTTCCCACCCCAAATGCCAACAGTTTTAACATGTGAAACATGCATATTGCAGGATTCCTTTGATGAGAAATGTCTTATCAGTGATTGGCATACTGAAAACTCAGATTAAGTGTTTTCAGCAGACAAGAGACAAAAAGTCTTCCAAGATCTTTTAGTAATAGCACCAATTATTTCTTGTACTTAGTTTTTTAGACCCAGTCCTTTGATCAACTTAAGCATTTCAGAAGAAGCTTCTTAAAATCTTTAATATATATTCCTGTGGTGCTAATGTCATAATGGTATGCCACTCCCTCACACCCTTACACTAGGCTGGATCCTACTGATGAGCTCAACTGTCCAACTGAAAACTAGGGCACTAAAGCTTCCCTGTAAATAAGAACTAAACCAGTGGTTCTCAACCTGTGGGTCGGGACCCCATTTGGGGTCAAACGACCATTTCACAGGGGTCACCAAACAAGGCTGTCCGCCATTTTTTCCCCTTTTCTTTGGCCACGCCCCTGGCACCCAGTGATGTATTAATGGTTGGGGGTCACCACAACACTCAAATGCAGTTCTTTTGAACTGTATTATGGGGTCGCGGCATTAGAAAGGTTAAGAACCACTGAACTAAACTCTCAAAAATAGCTAGATGATCAAGATGTGTCACTATTTCCAGCAGGGGGCAGTAAAGACTTTTTAAATAATACCTAGAGACAGGAATTGTGAACGGGATGCTGTGGAAGGAAGGAGAAAGAGAGAGAGAAGGTCCTGAAGTCTCCAACAACCATCACAAAACAAAAAGTAAGGGAGTAGCTAGCATTGAAGACAGAACAAGAAGGAATGGATAACTAATCAAGGAGAGAACCAACTTAAAATTTTAAGGAGAGCTTTCCTGACAGTAGAACTATTAATCAATGGAACGACTAACTCCGGAAGTTGTGGGTGCTCCAAATACTAGAGTTTTTAAAGAAGAGATTGAATAGCCATTTGTGTGAAGTGGTATAAGGTTTCCTGCTTGAGCAGGGGGTTGGACTAGAAGACCTCCAAAGTCCCTTCCCAACTCTGTTAGTCCGTTTTTTCTTCACAAGGAAGTCTCCAAAAAGTTCTATTATAAGTCAGAAGAGTCCAAATCTGTCCGGCTTGTTTCTGATGAGTGCTGGCTGGGACCAGGTTTAAGTCTTCCCATTAGTCCATTATGCCAAATTTTCTTTTTCTTAACTGTGATTTTTGAAAGAACCACAGCACTACGGAGTACATGTTTGATTTTTTTTTCCCTGAGCAAGTGTCCTATTTGAAGGACTAAACATCTCTCTGTAGGATTATCATAGGCTTATTCTAAAGTTAAACCTGAATCACAGATGTTTGATTTAAGCTCTCTGTGCTATATTGTATCATTTCAACTTCAGATATTTTTCTAGAGAGAAAATTATATTCATAGTAAAACAAATTATTTGGGCAAAGGAAGTAAATTGCTCCAATATGAAGTAGCTATTGTCTTTTCAAAGAATCTGTGGGCAGAAGTGGATGTTTGAAGGAAAGTTTGGTAGTTGGAAATGCCACGGTTTTGTTTGTGTGTGTGTGTGAGAGAGAGAGAGAGGGGGAGGGAGGGAGGGAGGGAGGGAGAGAGAGAGTGAGTTTGTATAGTTGGGCTCTGAAAAATGAGGTAAAGCGGCCTCAGTAGATGAGGTAAAGTGGCTCAGTATGGGAAAAGGGTGCAACTGCAGGGGGAAAAGCAATTGGGAAGAACTACCCACCTGTCTGTTTCTACCATCCACCACAAATGGCAGTGCAAAAGAACTGCATTTGAGCATTTCCTCACCAGCATCCCTTGCTTTGACAAGGGAAAATACTGCTGGAATAATGATGAATTGTTCTGACTTTCTTCACTGTCCTCTGTGTTTTACAGTAGCAGAATCAGCAGGATAAAGTTCCATAAATCACCCTTGGGATGAGAAAAGGCCAGTATTGTGGGAAAAGGGGATAACACTGGAGCTGCCAGGTTATTCCAGGGGCTTCGTAAATAACTTACAAGGAAAGTTCTTAATTAGTGCCAGCCTCAGTAAGAGGAAGGCTTTCCCAGTAATAAATGCTCTCCCAGGAATAAAACCTAGAAGGAAAAAAACGCAGCATTCTTCCCAGATTACCTGTCTCTGAAGCAAATATGATTTCAGTGCAATACTTTGAAGGATCAAAACCATGTAATATTGAAAATGGCTATAAATTCTTAATATAACCATACACACTATATATTACTGATTTTCAAGTTTTAGGGTTGCCATAACACTTTCAAATGATGCACAGTGAATTTGTATAACACCTATAGATAAAAGAATTTATTTATCTGAGGCAAAAATAGATTTGCCACTTAATTTGAAGCATTGCGTTTTAATTTACATATCAAATGAAGTAATGACAGACCTTTAAACTATTTCATTGGAAATAAACAAACCAACAACCCCGCACACACACACACACACCAATAAAATTTACAACCATCCTTTTAATGAAAAGGTTGAGCTTATTTACTTTTACATAATTCCTGACATCTGGGTTAATTTAAAGATAGGCACATTCCTTCTATCAGAAACGAAAGAAGGAAAGGAAGCTTTTTGACTTAAATTAACTTCTCTTGAAATGCTGCAGTACGCAAATCTCTGGCAGGCTGTAAGTTACTTTTAGTGCTCTCTTCCAGTACAGCCCCATTGAGATAACTATCATAGGACCATCTTCTTTCTCAACCTACTACTCCTTTCCCCTCCATATAATTTCCCCTGCAGAGTGAGCATTAAGTTACATAGTCAAAGCTGTGCATAGAAGCCTCTTGTGCTCTGGGCATGATTATTCCTCCTTTGTAAATATATTGTGTTTTAAAAAAACAAGCACAAAGAACATTCGGGCCTCATCTGGGGCTCTGGAGGTCATTTTGTATCAAACTAGTAAGGCAGCTGAGGGAGGAGGCTTCTTTCCTTTCATGAATGTTGCACTATACCCATGGTGGCGAACCTATGGCATGTGTGCCACAAGTGGCACGCGGAACCCTCTCTGTGGGCGCGTGCACCATCACCCCAGTCCTGGGCCTTCGGCTGGGTTTTATAAAACTTTTTCGCTTTGGGCCTCTGCCACTGTGTGCAAAAAAAAAAAAGGTTCAATCAATTAATTTCAACTTCTTGCGGGGAAAAAAGAAGATTTCGCAAAGTTGGAATTGATTGAACTTTTTGGTCCCACCCAGTCTGCCATTACCACTGCAGCCACACCCACCCAATGGGCCACGCCCACCCAATTGACCACACCTATTCAATGGGCCACACCTACCCAATGGGCCACGCCCACCCAGCACCTGATGATAGATAAGTGGGTTTTGGGCTGCAGTTTGGGCGCTCGGTCTCTAAAAGGTTCACCATCACTGCACTATACTCACAACTGATTATTGATTTATTATAAGCCATCAAGACAATGTTGACTACTAGCAACCACATAGATTTTCTCCAGGTTACCAATAGAAAGAAACAAAGCGATATGATGAAGAAAATTCACTTCTTACTGCATCTAACTATTCTGTATTATATAAAATTCCAATTTTGTTGAATGTTGTTGTAAACAAAATGATTAGTGGTTATATAACACCATATACTGAAGTATAGAAAAGAAAAAAATATTCAATTTTAATATTCAATGTTAAAGATTGGTGTACTTAAAGAAGGTGTGAGGTAAATACTGGGTCCAAACTAGGAATTCAACATAGAATTTCTGTATCTTGTTCATTGCATTTAGAATGTTCAGTTGCCTCTTGAAATATGCACTTAGAATATTTCCAGCTTTTTGTAGTGTTCTTAATCTTGTCACATAAGTTTAATTCAGATGGCATTAACTATTACTATTAACACAAGTGTGTACTAGGGTGTGGGAATGTTCTTTAAGACAACAATCATTTGTGAAACTTTTTTGGAACAAATGTCTGGTAATAATCAATTATCTGTAACTGGGAATATTTTCTGGGAAAACTATAGTAATTGATGGGCCTTTGCTTTTTTAGATCACCCTCTTCTGGTAGAAGAAAAAATATTGCACCTGGTACTCGAATTTATTCATCAGCTGCTGACCTCATCAGCTTATCAGAAGAAACTCATGGAAAGCCATCTTCCTCAAGCAGTGAGCAAAGTACAGTTAATTCTATTACAATATACTTCTACCTTCTTCTTTGGGATTTTATAATCCTTGCTGCGGCCTGGCTAGATCAGTATATGGCACCCAGATCTGGTTACCAAAATTTTCATTACTACAGGTTGTCCTCGACTTACGATAGTTCATTTAGTGACCATTCAGAGTTACAAAGGCACTAAAAAGTGACATCATTTTCCATACTTATGACCATTGTGGCATTCCCATGGTCACATGATCAAAGCTCAGATGCTTGGCAACTGGTTCGTATTTAAGACAGTTGCAGGGTCCCAGGGTCACGTCGTCGCCTTTTGCAACATTCTGACAAGCAAAGTCAATGGGGAAACTCAATTCACTTAACCACGTTACTAACTTAACAACTGCAGTGATTCACTTAACAACTGTGGCAAGAAAGGTCATAAAATGGGGCTAGGCTCACTTAACAAATGTCTCACTTCGCAGCAGAACTTTTGGGTAGTGAAAGACTACCTGTATTGAATGATGTGCCATCAAGTCGTTGTTGACTCCTGACGACCACATATATTTCTCCCTAATGGTCTGTCCCTAACTTGCTTTATCTGGTCTTCTAATGGTGCACCCATCACCATTGCAACTTATTCTATCCACCTTGTTGGTGGACATTCTCTTCTTCACTTTCCTTCCATCGTTCCCAGCATTGAGCCTGATCTAGAGAACTTGGCCTTTGCATAATCTGTCCAAAATAGATTAATTTGAGCCTGGCCATTTGTGCCTGGAGTGAGAACTCTAGTGATCACTACTAGATGGCAGGATTAAATATTTTTTAAAAAAATGGGTATCTTTGCTACCATTTTGCACTTTGGGACTGTGACTTTAATGTAGAATTCTTGAGTGGGGGGGGGGGGAAGCAAGCACAGCTAAGGGATCTCAACAAAAGAAAACCCCACACAACTCCTTCAGTGACAGGCAAAAGTTAATTTCAGCATTATCAAAGGCCTCTCCGTTTTCCATTTTGCCTCTCAACTGACATCTCATATTTTACAAGAAAGCTCTAGTTATATACAAGACTATCTTTCTTCCATTGCCAGGTGCCAACCAATCTTTCTACAGTGACACAGAGAGCTTGGGAGGGAGCACTGAATGCCAATGCTTGGATTCGCCCACATCTAGCCCAGGTGAGAAGAAATTCCCTTTTTGCCTGGAAAATTAAGAAAGTTCATAAGGAAGAAATGGGAGATGGAAACTTTATTAAAGTATTAGCTGGAATCTTTGTGAGAAAAATTAGTTACGTTGCAAACAGACTGTGGCATTCTTTCCTAACCTGTAGCCTTATTCTCCCCAGATACTGCTTTTTAATAGATTTTTTTTAAAATAAAAAAATCCCTTCTCCATAATATCAGGCACTTTGACCTTTTGAAGACAGAAACTGTTTGTCTTTTAAATGAATATATAAATCCTGTTTTTTTTTCTTTTATACATTTTAAATTGCAACTTGCTTTCTCTATTAAAGCTGAGAAAAATCTCTTTAGGCACCTTGATTCCTACAAAAGATTTTTTTTTTTAAAAAAAAAATTAAAGTGGCAGTATCATTTTAAATGTCTGAAGATCATGAAATTTATAAGAGAAAATATATCAGTTCTGTATTGGAAGCCCTGTGAATGATCTGAGAACACGTGACACATGATGAATGCTTACCTAATCAGAAAACTAGATGGGTTGGGGGGGGGGAGATTTCCTAAAGTGAAAGAGAGAAGGAAAAACCAGAAACTGTACCTGAACTCTGATTTCACTTCTGCAATACTAATGGCTGAGTTCGTGCATTGTACTAAGCCAGAGATCAGAATTATGAACTTTTGTAGGAATGTTGCTGCACCAATGGCTGGATGGCTTCCTACAAAGTCACAAGAAGAGTTTATGATGTCACAGAATGTGGCAAAGCTGTTTTTTTTTTTTCCCCCAACCTGTTTTGAGGATTTTAAACCACTGGAATTGAAACCCTGCTCCACTTTAGTGAGTCCCAGTGGTGGGATTCAAATATGTGAACAACTGGTTCTCTGTGTGGATGCTGCTTCCAGAAGTCCATTCTGGGCCTGGGCAACAAAAAATTAGCTACCGGTTCTGCCGAAGTGGTGCGAACTGGTTGAATCCCATCACTGGTGAGTCCTCTTATCTTCCTAGATGGTCAGAGCTGCTGCTACCGAATTTTGGAACTATAGTGCCGGAGTCAAGAGCTGCAAATGAGTTATTAGGCAGCTATATTCATGCAGCCTTAATTTGGTTTGTCTAATTTGAACCTTATGAAATTGTGTATTAGGTATCATTATATATCATGATTATTATAATGGTAATCATGATTATTATGATTATACTTGTCTGATGTGTGAACCCAGCCATAGCCTACATCTAATCAAATCACAGATGTAAATCTTGTTATCAGGTGCTAAAACAAAATATGTAGGTTGCAGCAAATTAAATTACAATAAATGTGGCATTAGGGTGCCTATAGAAAAGTGCTGCCTTTTTATAAAATAATGTTTTATTAAAAAAAAATAGAAACTGACCAACTGCAAAACAAAGGGGCAGCCTTTACATCATCTGTATTATCAGAGTTACTTTGAGGTTTCTCATAGACCCTGTAAACATTTTCAAAAAATTAAAATGGTCAGGTGACTACTTCTCATAGTTGCTTGAAAATGTGCCTATCTTTCTAAATAAAACAAGTATAGCTTCAGAGGGATAGAAAATTGGGGTGGGGCAGGAAGCTTCCAAATCAGTTTGCTCTTTCGTGATTTTTTTTTTTTTAAATGGCTGCTCCTAGCCCAGCGGTAGGCAACCTCGGCTCTTTTATGACTCGTGGACTTCAACTCCCAGAATTCCTGAGAGCCATGCTGACTCAGGAATTCTGGGAGTTGAAGTCCACGAGTCATAAAAGAGCCGAGGTTGCCTACCCCTGTCCTAGCCACTGTGATAGCCACTGTGGTGCTGCAGAATCCCCAGTCCCGTGAGAAACCATCTACAATAAGTGTCTTAAAATTTCAGACCTGCCTATCAACCCTGGAAGGCTGTGGCTCAGAGAATAGCTGGTCCTTATTCTTTTCAAACTTATGTTTTAAAACGGCGGTCAGTTTAAACAGTTGAACATGTCTGCACAGATTTGACAGTTAAAATAGCATGTCTCCCAGTTTGGAAATTCTTCAGTTGTGTTATACTGACAATGCAAACAAGTCTTTCATGAATGCTAGCTCTAGAAAAGTACATTATTTTTTTCACACAACAAATTAATTTTGCAGAATTCAGTGTGTGGTCAAATGTAACTGTTTGAGGTTATTTTAAGCAGCTTCCATGATTGTTTAAAACAGTGGTTCTCAACCTGTGGGTCGGGACCCCATTTGGGGTTGAACGACCATTTCACGGGGATCGCCAAACAACGCAGTCTGCCATTTTTTCCCCCTTTTCCTTAGCTGTGCTACTCCCTTTTATTCTATTGGCTTTTGAAAGCAAATAGAATAGACTGTCTTGAATAGAGTCTAATTCTATTGGCTTTCAAAAGCCGATAGGAATTGTCCAGGCTGTCTCTGCCCTGCTGAGCCCGCCAAAAGTCCCATTCTGCAAACGGTGCTGCACCAGTTGATAGCCCTCGACTTACGACCAGTTGAGTAGTCCTCGACTTACGACCGGTTGGGGGGTCATGGCATTAAAAAGGTTGAGAACCACTGGTTTAAAAGGTTATTTATTTCATATTCAGGCCACAAGACGTTGCTGAAAGCTCCATCCACTGGAACTGTATCCTCTTCAGAAGACTGTGAAGACAAAGATTTGATACAAGCCTATGACAATGGTGAGAAGCAAAAGAATCCTATGGTTTAACAGAATAAGAAGAAAATCAGAACTCTTCATAGCCTGGGAAAGGAAACAGAGAAGAGAACAGGAATATAGTTAGAGAGCTCCACAACTTATAAATGCATACTCTGTATTTTCCTGGTTTTTAATGAAAACATGCCAAGGATTCTTCATGTTGGGGTTCCCACTTTTACACAATTCTACCACATGTAAATGTTTTTAATTACCCGTAACACTACTTTGAGTTTTCCATTGTCCTTCTTTTTAAAGACTTACAGCTTTTTGAAATCAACTGCCTCAAACTTTCCTGTGAAAGTACCTCTGGATTTTTATTCCTCTGGAAGACCTTCCCTTTTTTATCACCCTTCTTCCTGTGGCCAGGCTATGCTAGATGCCATTCTGTTGTCCACTCTGACCTTTCAACTTTTAGATCATCCTCTTTTCCTTTTTCCTCTGGGCACTAACTATTATTGACTTCATACTCTGATGTTAACTGTCATTCACCGTGTAGTGCTTGACCTTTCATTTCCTCTAGCCAGAATTCCTAATCAATCATAATATATCATTAACTAAGAATCCGTGAGGAAAGATTTCCTCTTGCTTCTATCACTGCCTATCCTTTTTTTTTTTCCTGGGGTTCCCCAATCCATTATGAAAGTAATTGACATAATTGTAAATCTTTTACTAAACAAATTAATTACTACTGTTGCTTGACAGGTTTTCAGCTGTGGGATTTTTCACACTGCATTTGGAGATTACCCTTGTGAACACTGTAGGATGTAACACTTCGCTGCCATATATAGTATTTTATTTTATCCACTGGGAGACTCAGCCATCCTCTTTGGGGATGCTGCTCTTTGGGGATGCTGCATTATTGAAGAGAAGAAAAGATAACCTTTGTGTAATTTTTTACTGTGAGCACATTGGCACACATTAAAAATGAAATTCTGTTGCCTGCTCTCAAAAGTGTACACATACATAACACACATATAAACATGCTATATACAACCTATGTATATACCTACACCCTTACATATAAATACATATAAATATTAATCACTGTATATCTTGAATACATAATGGAAGGAGGAAGCTTGAGAGTTCACAAGGTTAATACTGTATGGAACAAAACTGTGACTGAATCTGGATGTTCTGCTTCAGATACCACAAAGCCTCCTCCCAGAAGGTAACAAGGGAAAGAGGTTGTGAAGACGATGTATAGTGTCCCAGACAATCAAGAAGGAGGAATATCTTTCCTTGGAGTATGCTACATTTTTAGATTACAAAATAGGAAATTTGTAATGATCAGGGTTTGCACTTTAACATTTCACCTAGTAAGTGCAAAATGGGAGGAATCACATCACATACTTGAGCATGGGCAGGATTTCTCCTATTTAGTAGTGGGGGTGAGTTATTTTATTTTAATTTAATCTGTTTTAATGTTATGTTGAACCTATTTGCAATTTACCTTACTCTTTTGTGTGCTACATTGGTCTCATGATTTTGGAATTCCCCCGACTTTGAATTTAGGGCATACCTTAAATATCTCCATATTCATTTTTCACTAGGTTTTTTTTTTTTTTTGTATTCAGCAAATATTCACTGTTCTTTAGGGAAAGAAATGATCACGTCTAATAGCGAATAATGGACTTCATCCTCTTTTCAGATCTAAATGATGTTGCATCTGAAAATGGCTTGTCCAATTGCCAGTTTAAAAAAATAATCCTGTCAAGTGCTGCTCAGACTCATCGGCTGAGAAAACTGAGGGGCCCTTCAAAATGCAGAGAGTGTGAGAACTTCATGGTCAGTGGTACTGAATGTGAAGAAGTAAGTGAACATAAAGGAACCACTTTGCTGCAAAATGGTCAAACAGCCTCCCACTCTCAGCACAACATATGACAAAAACATTGGTAGTCAAAAAAAGATGTGAAAGTAATTATTATTTAGGCTTCAATGGCACACTTACATACATGGAGCTAAGCACAGGATAGCTAACTTTTAAATAAATAGTTATACATCTAAATCTATAAAATTAATTCAATACCCTATTGTATGATACGATCCACTGAGCATTAAATCAGAGAGAGAGAGAGAGAGAGAGAGAGAGATGTGGCCTGTTACAAAAGCTTTGTAACAAAAATACTGTGGTTTAAAAAATAGCTATTTGTTAAGACTGATCCAATACTTTGCATTTTTTTCACAGTGCCTGTTGGCCTGCCATAAAAAGTGTCTGGAGACCCTTCTCATCAATTGTGGTCATCAAAAACTGCCAGCCCGGGCATCGCTATTTGGAATTGACTTCAGCGATGTGCCAAGGGATTTCCCAGAGGAGGTGCCATTTATTGTGATGAAATGTACATCGGAGATAGAAACTCGTGCCTTGGGAGTGCAGGTAACTCATTCTTCTATGCATTCAACAGTTGCATCCCAAGCTTTATTCCTGTTTCAAGGTAAGAGCAGGAACAAAATTTTCATTCCCATTCCTAATACAAAAACTGAATTAACAGTCACCTTTGCATGCTTTATATTTGTCCATTTCTGTGGAAACATAAAATTCTCCAAAAATGAGAATTTAACAGTTGGAGCAAACAGGTCTGCCTACACTTTTGTCTGCGTATAGATCAGAATCTTACATACCGGTATATTGTAAAATTGCAATGTATTGTTATTGTCACATGCTGGTTTTTCATTAGGCTGTTAGCTCTGAATTTCAGATTGAACAAAATACAGTATATCTCCAGGTTTCTGAGGTGGCAGAAGTATATTTTCTATACTAAATTAACCAGAGTTTGGTGTTCTAGCATTTCAGTCTCTCCTCCACTTGCATCTCTGTATTTCTGTATCAGATTGATATTCCGGTTGTCATTTGGGCACCTATGTATATGTGTTGTTCATCTAACTGGCTTCCCCTGATTTGGTCTCCCTTTGCCTCTCCTCTATGCAGGGAATATACCGCATTAGTGGGGCTAAAGCACGCATGGAGAGATTGTGCCAAGCCTTTGAGAATGGCCGAAGGTTGGTGGAGCTGTCAGAACACTCACCCCATGACATCACTGGAGTCCTTAAACATTTCCTTAAGGAGGTAAGAAATAAAAATGGAGAGTACCCCTAGCAGCACATTTCCCTACAGCTGAAAGTGATTTTATGAGATGTGTATCTTTAGCTGTGGGAGTTCACAAAGATACATTTTTTTCAGACCTTTCTAAAGCAGAAACACACTGATATTAAAAGACAGCTCATAGTTAGTCTTTCCCTTATAATGAACATCTTGTATTGCCCTCAGCTTTCACAATCTGAGTGTCTCATATGCTGTTCTATGACTAATTTGATTGATTGGCTCATAGATATCATATAAATTGCAGTTTGCCTACTATTTTTCAGATGTACTCTTATAGTTTCGCATCTATTCTTCATTGTCCTCAGTTTTTTACAAGCACAATCTCTTCTGTGGTTTGCCTCAGAGAAGGACCTTGGCAACTTCCCATTTTACAGAATAGAATAGAATAGAATAGAATAGAATAGAATAGAATAGAATAGAATAGAATAGAATAGAATAGACCTTGGAGGTCTTCTAGTCCAACCCCCTGCTTAGGCAGGAAACCCTATACCAGTGGTGGCGAAACTATGGCACGGCTGCCAGAGACGGCACTCAGAGCCCTCTCTGTGGGCATGCGCGCCGTCGCCCCAGTCCTAGGCATTCAGCTGGGTTTTAGGCCTCCACCGCCATGTGCAAAAAAAAAAAAAAAAAAAAAACCAGGTTCAATCAGTCAATTTCAACTTCTCATGGGAAAAAAAAAGATCTTGCAAAGTTGAAATTGATTGATTGAACGTTTTAGTGTCACCCAGTCTGCTGTTACCACCGCAGCCACGCCCACCCAATGGGCCACACCCAGCCAATGGGCCACACCCACCCAGCACTCAACGATGCATAAGTGGGTTTTCGGTTGCAGTTTGGGCACTCAGTTTCTAAAAGGTTCGCCATCACTGCCCTATACCATTTCAGACAAATGGTTGTCCAATCTCTTTTTAAAAACTTCCAGTGTTGGAGCATTCACAACTTCTGGAGGCAGGTTGTTCCACTGATTAATTGTTCTAATTGTCAGGAAATTTCTCCTTAGTCTTAGGTTGCTTCTCTCTTTGATTAGTTTCCATCCATTGCTTCTTGTCCTGCCCTCAGGTGCTTTGGAGAATAGCTTGACTCCCTCTTCTTTGTGGCAGCCCCTGAGATATTGGAACACTGCTATCATTCCATCCCTTGTCCTTCTCTTTTTTAAACTAGACATACCCAATTCCAGCAACTGTTCCTAATACGTTTTAGCCTCCAGGCCCCTGATCATCTTTGTTGCTCTTCTCTACAATCTTTCTAGAGGCTCAACATCTTTTTTACATCATATTTTTATTTTATTTTATTTTATTTATTTATTTTATTGTATTTTATTTTATTTTTATTTCATTTCATTTTATTTATTTTATTTTATTATTTTATTCAAAAATAAGGTTCTGATCTTGACCTCCCAGAGAACAAAGTCCATTCACTGCTCTACATGACGACTGTTTAGGAGTCACTCCTCAATATTCTTTTCTGCAGACAAAACATACTCTGTTCCTTTAACCATTTTGGGTAGGACTTGGTTTCTTACAGTTTTGGCAGCCATTCTCTGAACTCATTCCATGTAGACCTGGCTAAGGCATAGGAAAGAGGGACAATAACTTCTTGTGATCTGGACTTGTTTGCATATTTATCTATAAAAAACTGTCCATCTCAGGGCCCAAATCTGGACAGCTCAAAAAAAATATATCCTCAAATTGGATTCAGCTGTTTAGCAGTTGCATCTTATTGTTGTTTCCTGTTCTACTGTTGAATTACTAGAACATTCCATTTCTTTTGAAATGTAGATAGTTCTCGACTTATTTAGTGACCGTTCAAAGTGAAAATTGTACTTACGACTGTTTTTCACAGTTGCAACCTTTGCAACATCCCCAAGGTCATGTGATCAAAATTCAGATGTTTGGCAACTGATTCATATTTATGACAGTTACACTGTCCTGGGATCATGTCATCCCCTTTTGTGAGTTTCTGACAAGCAAAGTCAATGGGGAAGCCAGATTCATTTAACAACCAGGTTACTAACTTATCAGTTGCAACGATTCACTTAACAACTGTGTCAAGAAAGCTTGTAAAATGGGGCAAAACTCAATTAAACAATTTCTCACTTAGCAACGTAAATTTTGGGCTCAACTGTGGTCTTAAGTCAAGGACTACTTGTCATACTGTCAAATTAGGTCTCCCCTTTTTTATCCGTATATGTTTCATTTCATCTCCCCACGTGCAGACTTTACATTTCTCCCTGTTAATTTTCATTATATTTATTTCAGCCCACCGTTAAATTTCATGCCGTTCATTTCAGCTTAGTTATGCTGTAACCTGTCTAGAAGATTTTTTTATTATTATTTTCTTTCTAAAAGTTAGCGTTCCTTCTCATTTTGAACATGTGCATAAAAGGGGCTCTGAGTTCATAAAAGAAAGGTGTAAAATTCTAAAATGTTTTGTAATGCACAGAATTTCATTGCTGCATAAAAGGTAGTTCATAGTATGGGCACATCTTCCTTAAGGGGGATCCTTAAAGTTCAACAGCTCATATTTTCTGATATTCTCAAAATATGAACTCTTGTTCTGAAATATATGAGAACATGTGAGAACACTGAGAATTAGAAAAGTGCAAGACAGTAAACTAACATGGAAATTATTATAGAACTAGTCCATGAGACTGGGTTAACATGGCACGATCCAATAATATTTGTGATCAAATTTAAACCCAAGGAGTCTGTACCGGTAAAGTATTATGATGCATGTTTTGCATTTTTGCTACAGCTTTCCAGCCCTGTGCTTCCATATAAACTTTATGAAGATTTCATGACTTTCTCAAGAAATTTGCAGAAAACTGAAAACAGAACTGGTGATAATTCTGAGACAGATCCCATCAAGACCACCAAGGATTTGATGAGCAAATTACCAGCATCAAATTATAATACTATAAGGCATCTTATTGCTCATCTATACAGGTAATGAAAGAAATAGCACTGAATATCCAGCTTTTCTCTTGTAGGACAAATTAGCTCTGTTAAATTTATCTGATCTGGATATCATTTTTATTGCCAACAAAACGACTGTAACTATTATCAGCGAATTCTGATGATGTCCCTTTTAAAGTAGATGTAAGTTAAGAGAATGTGACAATGACTTGGAACAGAGTAAAAAACCTTATTTTAAGTGGCGTAGAAGTATATGGAATTACACTAATGGAAAGTATGAAAAAGAACATTTGGTAGACTACTGAGGTGAAAGAGATTAAGGGTGAAAAAAATGCATACATGAGCATGGTTGCTGTAGAACGTAAAAATAAGAGGAAGACATCCTGTAGAAAGCATTTAAATGCTTTCACTAGTATTGGAATGCATGATCTCACTCTCAACCTGTGTTTGGCCCTGTTCAAAGGCAATTTCCACCTCATCTTTTATTGTTAGTGGTATTGCCGGCCTCCTCTTTAGTCAGTCCTTGCACCAAGCCATTTGTTCTCCGCTGCTGGGCCATCTGCCTCCTTTTGAAGGAACCTTGCTATCATAAATGGGTGAAACACTGCATTTTTGTCCTGCCAGTTTCCCCTTTAGTTGGAGTCATAGGAAGAATGATAAAAATATGATATTTCCTTTCTCTTTTCCTCCCCTCCCCCTGGATATGCTAAATGGGAAGATTCTGACTACAAAGGGAAATCGACTTAAGGGCTGATACAAATGTCTATCAGTGAAAATCCATATCCTCAGACCCATTGAAAGAGAGAAAATGACTGGGGCTTGCTTTCCTAGCATGGATGAGAAGAGTAAAGAACTAGGGAAATCTACCAATCAGGGTTGTGGTATACACCATCTGGACAGGACACCTGGCAGGGCCGTCTCCAAAACTGAAGAAATGGGAAAACAATTTCTTAAGCCAGTTTCATTTTTAGCTGGTTTCTGCACAGGAGACAAGTAGCTTAAAACAAACAGAGCAAGGCATGGTTAAAATTAAAAGAGGAACACAAAATGCAATGCAAGCTTGATAGAAACATAAAGTTGTTTTGGAAGTGGATGAAAATAGCTTAAGAAGAAGCCTCTTGCATGGCGAATGGCATTAAGAATAAAAACAATGGAATTATTTTCAATGAAACCAGCATCTTTTAGAGATTTAATAATACATTGATGCAAAGAATTATAATGATATGTTATAGGGTGGGACTTCAATAAGTATTATGTTAGTGTCCAGGGAAAAAATTTAGAAAGGGAAGTCATAAATATTTTGAGAATAATGAAAATAGTAAAGCAGCAGACATTTTTTTCTTTAGATATTTTTATCCCACATTTTATAACTCTCTCAAGGGAATGGGCATAACTAATATTCCTTCCTCCTCCTATTTTCCACAACAACCCAGTGAGGTGAGGTAACTGAGAGAGAGGGATTGGTCCAGGCCTAAGGTGGAACTAGAACTCACAGCCTCCTGGTTTCTAGCCTGGTACCTTAACTACTAGACCAAACTGGTTATCTAGGTTTAGATAGTATGTTTGAGAAATATTAAAATATTAATGTAATTTGTTTACACTGTGCAACTTGTATGAAGGCTGCATCCGTGCTTAACAACTGAGAGAATACTTTACAGTAATTCCCTTGTAAAAAAAAAGAAAAGGTAGCAAATAAGGGTTTACTTGCATAAATGGAATGCTTTCTTTGAGGAGAAAGCCTTCGGAAATGGGATTGCAGAAGTTAAGGAAGAGAGTCTTCCCGGAGGTTGATATTTCCCTGTGTATGAGTTTCCAATTCAGGCTGGCAATAAATTTGCAATTCACAAAGAAAGAAAAATGCTGATTACTTGGGTATGGTATTTTTTATCTATGTATCCTTCTGTTTGTGAGGAAAATGTCCTGAACTTGAGAGGTTTCTGAGATTTTCCGCCTCCTGTGCCAATTTGGCTGCCACTGGAGCCACTGTAGAAGAGAAGGTGGGAGAATGTACTGTATGAAGTGTCATTAGTGACGACAGCGATGGCAGCAGGCTTGTCTTTGGGATAGGAGGCTTTGAAACTGGGAAGCCCCAACCCATGGTGGGTCCCTGGCAGTCTCTTGTAAGAAGCCATTTTTATGGAAGGAGCAGAAGTGAGAAAGCAGAGGGAAAAGTTAGAAGGCATTTTCCTTTCCTGCTGCACATGCTGTTTCTATCCAGCCCAAAACAGCCAATAGCTCCAAGAAGATAATGTGCATTATATTTTGTGCAGCCAGCAATTTGCCAGTCTTGCTGCAGAGGTGCAATCAATTTTCAGGGTTAGACAGAAATCTCAGGAGCGAGAGAAAAACACAGTGATGTTTCTTTGTGGGTAAGAGCTTCGAATTACAGTGCCACCCACCCATCTTTGAGTCTTCAGAAAACTAAATTAGCATGAATTTTGCTGTCCCTTTTGCCAGTCCATATCCTGCCTCTCTCAGCTCTGCTCCCGGTTATTGTCAGCCACCTAATTTTCCTCCAAAGTGACAAAAAACTAACAGATTTTTGACATCCTGAGACTGCCCTTGCACAGAGTTCGAGTACGGGGGAAGATGTTCCAGGACAGCTAAAAATGACATGATTATTCATGAGCTTGGGACAAGATGAAGACCACATCAAAACATCAGTTTTTCTGAGGATGTGTTTCTGGCATGGTTAGGTGCAAGAGAGGACCCAGTCATAATTGAAAACACCACACAATTTTTTTTTGTTGTTATTCTGAATATATTACAGCAGAGGTGAAAATTAATGGATTTAACTGCCCCTTGCAGATAATAACATGGGAACACAGAATTGATTCTGAAGCCACAACAAAATCATGAGGAAAGTTCTCATAGTTTGGTATGAAGAAGTTGGTAGTGGAGGGGATTACTGAAATACATAGCAAGAACCGGTAGGAAAGAAGAGATCCACAAACTGTATGTTAGCACAATTGTTTTCGCACTGATAGGATGAAGTGAGTTGTTCCTTATTTATTATACAGGGGAAACATTCTTCCTTCAAGATGACAATTTGCACAGATACTGCACTGGTTGATGTTTATGTTGCTACAGTTTCTTTCTGATCATTTCTGCCCCTGCACAATTATTGATGTAAGGTTGAAAAATGATGTGTGTGTGTGTGTGTGTGTGTGTGTGTGTGTGTGTGTGTGTGTGTCCTTAATAATATTAAAAACACGAATCCCGGGTATACACATAATGTAAAATAAAATAAGGTGATCACCAGGATAAAATCATAAACATAAATGTTTAATCTACAAAACCAAGCTTTCGTCGGCCACACTACTGACATAGTCAGAGTATAAAATGCTGGATCCGGGAGTCCGTTTTTATGTGGCTGGAGCAGATGAACAGCAGATCTCCAGGCACGCACACACACACAAAGAAAAAAACAGCAATTAGAGAGGAGAGGACAACTTTAGAAACGTCCCCTTTAAGAACTACACAGCCGATGCTGATGGGCAGACCTATGACCCGATCCAGGGTCAAAGCACAGAGGCAGCCAGCCACATAAAAACGGACTCCCGTTGTGCCCAAACCCTTCTAACCCTTTCTAACCCTGTATTTTTCTTTTCAAGGGTGGCTGAAAGATATCAGGAGAACAAGATGTCCCCCAACAACCTGGGCATCATCTTCGGCCCTACTCTAATCCGCCCTCCCTGTAGTAACAATGATGTGTCCTTGTCATGCCTGGTGGATTCAGGATACCAGTCCCAGCTGGTTGAATTTCTTATCCTGAACTATGAAAAGATATTTGGGATGGATGACCTGCCTTCAGCTGGACTTTTTGACTGTGAAAACTCTTTGAAACAGGCAAATACTAATGACGTTCTTTCAAGCAACCAAAGACATTCCGGTGCATCTTTTGAGGTAGGAATGAGCGGTTGCCTATCCTTAAGTGAAATCAATGGGCCTCTTTGAGCAATAGACTAAGATAAATGGAAAACTGGGTTTTCCAGCCTTGAGTGGCTGGAGTTTTTAATCCTCCAGGTCCAGATGATATTTCATCTGATTCTGGATGGGATGGCACTCCCCCAGACTGAAGTGGTGTGCAATTTGGGGTCCTCCTGGAATCACAGCTCCTGCTCTTTGCCCAGATTGGCTCACTATGCCAATTGCACCCCTTTTTGGACCAGAAGGTCTTTTTTATGGCTATCCATGCCTTGGTCATCTCCTGTTTGAATTACTGCAATGCTGCCCTTCAAGACCACCTAGAAACTTCAATTGGTCCAGAACGCAGCAGCACACATAGTAATGGGTGCTTCTGGGTTTGCACATATAATACCTCTATTGTTTTTGCTGCACTGACTTCCAGTTTTTTTTTTCCAGGAGTAATTCAAAGCACCTTTAAAGTCCTATATGACACAGGGCCACCTTACTTACATGGGACCACCTTTCCCTAAGGACATTTACCCATCCTACCAGATCAGATAGGGTGGGCATTCTCCTAATCCCTTCCTTTAGATTTTGTCATTTTATAAGAACTAGGAAGTATGCATTTTCTGTGATAGCCCCTGCCCTATGGGACACTCTGTAGTTCAACAGGCCCTTACCCTCTTAGCCTTCTGTAAAGCACTGAAGATCTAACCCCCCCACCCCACCCCAAGTGCTGAGATGAGGTGATTGCATATTTTGGCACCAACGTTTAGTTTTTAACGTGATTGGTTTCTATAGTTTTAATGTGTTTTTTATCTTGTTTTAGTTTTTCATTAGGAGCCACCATGGTTTCTTATAAGATGGGGCAGGGCTATATAAATATTTTTAAAAACACCGCCAGTTTTTTTATAGTGCATAAAGCACACGGACAGCCATTCCATGCATATCTCTCTGAGGTGGCCCTCTGTGATATATTCCAAAGAGGCTATAAAAGATTGCATAATTGAAGAATAACAATAAACAACTGTTAACTGTTATTAGTGGTAGTAATACCATAGGTAGAGGAGATAAAGGGAGCTTATATAAGAATTTCACTTTATTTTACCCAGATAATAATCCTGTAATCTAGACTGGAGTAAGAGTGAGTTTCCATGACTGAGTCCCTGATCTAACCCCATAACCATGACACCAAATACAGATTCTCAGTGTTAGCAGAACTAAAGTGTTGAGTGGGTATTCTGCCATTTTTGTTTTCTCAAAATACATCTTTATTTTGATATTTCAGAGTACCATAAAAATATTATCAAAAATAGAAAGAAAAAAATGAAATACAATGGATGTTTTTCTTCAGGAACCTGTAACGCTAAAATTTTTTGAAAAGCACCACAGATTTTACTTTAGAAAATTACAGTGTCTTATATCACCCTACCAATCTCACACACAGCTTTCTTGCTGCAATTAGATAAAATTGGCGGAGGAACTCAAGTCAACAGATTCATAGCATTTTTTTCCCCCCAAACAGAGCTCTGCTTCCAAGCTATGTTTGGGTGAAGATGACTGTAGAAGTGAGGACAGTTCCTTCACTGAGGTCAAACAGAAAGACAGCATGGAGCAAACCGTCAACCCCGTAGGTAATTTTTCTTCTATAGCAAACCATTTCTTTAAAGAATATAAAGTCTATGCTGTTGAGAAATCTGCATTCTATCCCAAATGATTAATTATCTACAATATCATCTTCTTCAGAATGAGAAACAGCAGCATAAGGCAGGTTCTGAAATTCCAAGTAATTATGCTATCTAAACTGAGTTAATTGGGATGACTTTTGTCTTCCCCAGTGCAAGAGACTTTTGAAAAATGACAGCATTCTCCTAAAGGATGCACAGCACGAAATATCTTAATGCTGAAATGTATAAAGGTTTAAACTATGTTATATGAAAATCATGTATAGGTATAAAATTAAAAATGATCATATTTGCATACCTGACTGCAAAGCTGACTTAGTTTAATTTAAAACAAATCCCCAAATTCTTTGTAGGAGAAGAGCAGGTGGAGCTATGGGGGCAGAGTTAAATGCATCATCCGTTTAGAGTCCTTGTGTTCCCACAAGAGATTGAAGTCCAGTCTCTCCTGAATTCTGTTGATCTTTATCGGTGACAATTTAGTGTTGAACTTTAGTCGACCAGATTCTTGTGTGTCAACTTGAATAAATTCTCTAGGCTGCAACTTTACTAATAGTCCTGATTCTTTGCATCTGATATTCTTTGAAGTAAAACCATGGCGTGTTTTCCAGAAGTATTTGGTTAGCTATTATGCAAAAAAGGATGTTGAGGATGAAACTTTTGGGCAGGTTCAGCTGGTCTATCATGGTTTAGGATAGTAAGCAGAATTAAATGATATGAGTCTGAAATGCAGATACACCAATAAAATAAAAGGGCTATCAAACGTAGATGGTTGATGGATTTGGTCCTTTTATGAAATATCTATAACAGAGTTTGTGGCATATGCAAAAAAAAAAAAAAAAAAACTAATGCTGCCCTGCTTGTAAGAGATCTGTGTTATCTCGTATCAGTCAAAATATGTGGTGAATGGACAACAAAATGCTTCCTCAAGGAATCCAGCTAATCTTTCATTGCTTTTAGAAACGCGTCATGTGCCTTTGAACACATGGTCTGCTGGGTGATACATGGAACAGATTGCCTTTCCTCATTCTTTATCAGATTCTTTTCTCTTCTCACTCAGAGCTGAACAGCACAGATGACACAGAACTGCAAGACTTTATACTTGATCCAGAAGTTACTCTCAATCCTCAATCCAGGGGACGCTTCAGCCGGATGCCAGTGAAGCATCCTCGTACCATCATCCCCAAAGTTTCCAGTCTGCCCCTGCTGGCTGCTGTTCTGTCTAATTCAGAGGCAGCCAGCAGTTGGTTGGAGACAAGTCCCAGTAGTCGCAGTGCCTCACCTGACACCTCTGGAAAGCGTAAACATTTTAAAATCACACCAGAAACTGCTAGGATTGTCTCCAAGCTGCAGCCTCAAAATGGAACACAAGATTATTATCAAGCTCAGCTTGGGGCCGCTCTCCAGGAAAAGCCCCTGGATGCACTGGGGAAAAATAAGTCTGAATCCCAAGCTAAAATATTGCTTGGGAAATGAACTGGACAAAGGTCTAGAATCCCAGTTCTTCACAAAACATCAGGGCTCTCTAGTGTATTTGGAGAACAAACAAACCAGCCCTGGAATGAGGTATTTATATAACTGTTTCTGAAGAAAGGGGTGAACTAGAGCTGAGCTGCTGAGATACTAGAAACTGTAAACCCCGTGAAGCCGGCTTTCAAACAGGGACTATGACCACAAAGGCAGAGTGGAGGAGCAAAACATTTCTAGGGAAAGTGGTAAGAATTTCGCAGAAATGGACAGAGCCTTGGAAATAATTGGTATACCTGCTCCCAGTGGCCATATTTGTGCAGTATGTTGACACAGGATGTGAGCGTTCAAGATGGTTCAGGGTTATGTTTGACAAGAATAATGTGACTGTGTTGAAACCACGTGATGGAAGATTCGATCAGATTACTACCAGAAAAATGGCATATATCTTGAAAGTTTAAAAGTATCAAAATGATCACTAAAGAAAGATAAATTCTATGAAAATTGAAAATGAAAACAAAAAAAACACCCTTTGAAATCTTGTAATGCCATTTTTCTAGGTTCAGAAAACATGTTTAGACATACAGTATGAGCCCTGGAAATGTACTTCTTTTAAAAACGAAATTTATTTTTGGGAAACTGAGTTCTCTATTAATTGTATATATCTGTGCTTTTTATTATCAGTTTGTACAGAATAGTCTAAAAAAAGTATTGGCTAAACCAGGGGTAGGCAACCTTGGCTCTTTTATGACTCGTGGACTTCAACTCCCAGAATTCCTGAGCCAGCATGGCTCAGCTTGGAAACCTCTCCCTTTCCCGTCAGCATGGCTGGCTCAGGAATTCTGGGAGTCCACGAGTCATAAAAGAGCCAAGGTTGTAGTGGTTCTATAGTGAGAGCTGCTAATATTATATAGTATATATAAGAAGGCAATGTATGTTTCTTGTAGAGAATGCCTGGATAAGGAGATGGGGCAGGGCAGGTAGATGAATGATAGGGTGTTGCTGGAATTCTTTCTTATAAACATGTTAACACATATGTGGTTCTCTTTGTGTAGAGTTGCCAGCTGGGCATTAGGCATGAATTTTTACAGGCATCTTCCCACTATATATATTTCTTAAATTCCATCAACCATTTCTCCTCACTTTTTGTATGGCACAATTGGTTGAGTGTAATTGGTTGAGTTCATACAGTGCGTTAAACCAGGGTGCGTTATAATCTGGACTTGATTAAGAAGCTGTAATGCTTGGTTTACATATAATGTTAAGCCCTAAATCATAGTTTACAAACCACAAAGTGTGTTTATAGCTAAACATAATGTGTTTACAAGACTGCATGAAAATTGTAAAAGAGTTGGTAAGAGGACAGATTGGAGAAGCCATGGCTGCCTCAGCTGCCATATCAATAACAGATGTGTGCCTGACCATTATGTGGAATCTGCCACTAATTGAAACTTTTGGTTCTATGTATATGCACTGAAATACTTGTGTGCCTATGTAGTTTTGCTGGCAAACATCTCTCATAGAGATGCTCAAATGCTGCATTGATAGAATTTGCCTTGCAGCAGTGATGTCTGATGAATTGGTGGGTTTTGAAGCTTCTCAATAAGCCACTTAATAATTCCAAGAATCAATTTTTCTCTTGTGATTACCCTGTAACAACCTATTCTAAATTACATTTTGCAAATCGCTAGACAAATGTATATAAATACATGCCAATTAACACATGTTCAGAATGTGTGTGAGTTGTTGGGAAACCATCACAAATGTATTTGTTACTCTGTTTGCAAATGAAAGGGGAACCACCTAATTATCAATTCAGAGAGGACTGGAAACTCTGCAAGCAGAACAGGTAATCCTCAGCCTACACCGTAATGGAGCTTGCCCATTGCAGTTGCAAGTACTGACAGTCATTAGGCAAGATGGCCTTGCTTAACGACCCCCACCCACTGCTCTCCCCGATGCAGTTGTTTTTAATGTGGGTCATTATGCAGAGCATAGGGTGTCTTGGATGGGGGACACCCTGGAGCACAAACCCAGGCCCAACTGTCCTGGCTTCCCAAGCTCCCCTCCTCCCCTGCAGAGATATCCCGGTCTCCACTTCCTGCCCCTTGGGGTCCCCACAGCACTTGGGCCTGCTTTCCCCCCACCTTGGGCCTGCTTTCCCCCTCAGCCTCTCCACCCTCCTATTGGGCCCCCACAGGGCTTGGGCCTCGTCCACTCTGTCCTCAGTTGTGCATGTACCTATTGAAGATCTCTGCAGCTCTGGTGGTTCCTCAGTGCTGCGCAGACTGCATTGGGGAAGTAGAGCAGAGCAGTCCGTCCCTTCTTCCAGAAACAGATGCCATTTTGGGGTAAGGTAAGGAATAGTGGCCACGCTGAAAATAGCAGTCACTCGCTGCCTTAAAGTGGTTTACACAGCACTGAGGAAAGCTCTGGAGCTTTCCAGTGCTGTGCAGATTGAGTTAGTGAAGCAGAATGCAGCAGTTCATTCTGGGGCCGCCTGGCTGTCTCCTGGAAGTGGCTGCTATTTCAGGATGACCACAAGGATTTGTGGGGGTGCTGAAAATGGCAGCCACTTCCAGGAGGCAGCCACATAGCCCAGGGATGCGTGGCCTGCCCTCCTTGCCAAACATGAGGTTCGGAGATCTTCAAAAGGCAAATGTGTGATGGGTGACAGGTGAGTAGGACGCACTGGTCATTAAGTAAGGATGATCAAGAGTCAATGTAAAGTTTATTTACCCAGTGCGAAGACCAATCAATCACGCAATCACGCTTTATTTCTGAATTTCAGATACAGAAAATTCAAAATAGCAATACAAGGTTTCTTTACCAATTTCTTATCATCTTTAAAGTAGCACATGTACAAGTAATTGCTGTTCAGGTTGGAATAGCACATATACAGGTACTGCTGTTCAGCTATTTTTAACATGACCTATACTACCAGACCCCTGCCTGCCTCCCACTCAAGCTAAATATCGCATTACCTTACTTTTCCAGCAAAGGGTCTTCTTGCAACAAGCTTCTAGCTACTGCACTAACCACATCCTACAGAGCAAAATATAATTTCTTGCTTTGGTTTAGCAAAGCATTTTGCAGTTTTTTGTTTTATGCTTCTGTGCAGACAGGGTAAAGTGAAGCGAGAGCAGTGTGGAAAGAAAAACGGAGGGGCTTCTGTAAAATGGGTACTTTTAAAGCTGAAGTTTGAAAAGATGAAGTTTGGGGTCCCAAAGATGAAGTTTGGGGTCCCAGGCCTACGCTCCCCTCTTTTTGACACTTTTAAGATACTTCAATAAATATCAAACCTCATTAATGTGTCAGCTGGGAAATTTCATTCTCTCATTCTTGTAACCTACATCTCTACGGGAGAATGGACACAAGATTGCCTTCTTTATTCTGATTTTTCACTCCAGTTAAGAGTGCCACTTCCACTTCCACTTTGTTTTGGCTCCAAATGGGGCACATCTCAGCAAAGCTGTGTCACTGCAGGAGCTTATCACAGGTTGGCATAACAGACAATGAGCGTCATACTTATGAAGAATAAAATAAAACCAACATTTTCAACGATTCAGGATTGGAAACCAAGAGTAAGATTTTCTCATAAGCGATGGAAGGGGTATGGAAGAGAAAGACTTGGCCAGTTCAGAGTTTGAGGCTTGGTCATTAGCTATACATTCCAATTAATCCTAGGTTATGGTTGATCTGAGTCAAGCTTTGGTTGGTTATAGCAGGAAAAACAGGTACCACAATTTTGGTTTGAAATGGATCTGAATAGCCTGCTCCAGGTAATTGTGTCATTTATGGGGGGAGGCACTTGGATTACTTCTTAGGAGAAAAGTTTCTGTTTAACAAGCAATTGTCTATGAAGGTGACTGTGGAGAAAACTTCATAGGTGATGGTGGGGGCTTGTTTTCTGGACTCACGAGTATGAAGAATTTTTTTCTTCTAAAGAGTAGTCTTTCAAGTGGTTCTGCCTTTCACATGAATGACTAGAATTTCTCTGGGGGTGGAAATCTTTTTTTCATAAGTGTGATGCACTTAGGACTTGACTCTAAAGAACTTGAGAGAGATAAAGGTCAGCAAAAGATGGATCTTTTCTACTTTAGTTGAAGGGATTCATCATTCCAGGATTTTAGCAGAACTCAGTTCTGTATGGATGAACAGACTGGTCCAATCCTACTGGTTGGTGTTATTGGATATCTCTGGAAAGAGAAAGCAGAGCAGCAGACAAACGCAGCAGGTATTGTTTCTTCTAGCTGAGGACAATAGGCATTTGCACTATAAGGTATGGTTTTCTCATACAGAATCTCAAAGGACTCACTCCCAATCTTTTGCTTGAAGTGGCTTTGCATGCAACTGGGCAACTGGCTGTGTCTGCTAGTAGGTTAAGTAGGGTTCTTGAGCTATTTTAGTTAAATGATGTTTTTAACGGGATCTTTAGCGCTTTCTACTTGACCACAAAAAAAAAGGTAAAAACAAATTCAATTTTGACTTGGTTCTTAAAACTTATACAATTTTGGCTACAGAATGTGAGTTGTCATTGGATCTGATTTTAGTTTACAAAATTCCCTATTTAGGAATGATTTCCTTAAGTAGGACTTTTATTACTTATTTTGTTGTGTCTCTTAGGATACGTTACTTTTAAACGAACAAAACTGCTTCTTTGTTCATTCTTACTCGAACGTTAATTCCATCATCATTCAGTTGCTTTTCTGTTCAACACATTCAACATATCACTGGGCTAGCTGGGGAGAGGTCTTAAAGGGACTTGGGCAGAAGCAATTCAAAAACTTTAATTTACAGGCATCCTGTCTGCTCACAGACTAGGGTTGGTTCTGACAGGAAAAGCTTTTACTTATCTTGAACAGGTATTAACTAGAAGCAACAAATATTTAACTTTTTGTTGTTTATTTGTTTTCTTGACAGTTTCATAAAGTCAATTTGTCAAAAATCTTTAGATTCCTTCCCCTCCACCCCTTTGGCTGGGCTTTGAGTAAAGACTTTTTATTGACTTTAGGATTATTCTGTCAGGGAACACAGTGTTTTTCTCTCGGTAATTCTCACTGACCATCCTATGACTTGGTGCCTTCCTATTATTCACTTCAAGTGTCTCTCTTTTTAGTTCCTTTTGCCATTGATAAATCTTCTTGTGGGATGTTTTACAATATCTCACAGCAACTTCTTTAGGAAGGAGTACAACTTTAAAAAGACTAGAAATTTATCGTATGTGTTCTATCTCTGTGGTTTGAGCTATAATCAGTTTTTATTTGATGTCTGTGTAAATGTCAGTTTTTTTCTGCTATCAATTTAAGAGCACTTTGGTCTTTTACAATCACCACATAGATTTTCTCTTGGATTTTTTCCATTCTTGTTGTAATTTTTTTTAATTTTCTTAAAACTACATCTAAAATCTCTTCCCCATTTGTTCAGTGACACCCTCTTCCTCCCTCTGTACTTTTTTGCATAATTTACATTAAAACACATTTTTTGTATTTATTTATACATCTTTCATAAACTATTCTTATTAGCTCTGAGCTGGTATCCCAGCTGCTTCTATATTTTCTTTTAATCTCATTGTTATTTGGACCTATAAACAGTGGACTCAATGTGTGCGTGTTCGCTGATTTGTCTAGATCTAGATCAGTAAATATTCTAAAAGACTATTTAACAAGGCTTGTGTGGATTATGGGTATGGAAAATAAATACAAGCCACTTGATGGACAATGAGATATAAACAAAATACCATTTTTATCTAGTTTACTTTTTTTAACCCTAGCCTACTAGATAAGTGATATTTTTTCTCTTTTTAAATCTAGATATGGATTAAGATTTTATAGAATTGTTTTATTAGGATCTCCTCAATATGAGGGGGCACTGTTCTTCCATTACACATTCTGAAGTAGAGAAAGCAGTATATACCAGAATTATTTGAGGTTGTTCCCCTTGGGAATTTGCTACCAGAGTACATCTCAGAAACAAGAGTTTGGCTGGCTTCTTGGATCTTAACTCAGAGGGTTTCTGAGTAGCCTCACCCACAGGGTCACTGTATGTAGGAAGATTTGGACTGTTCAGTAAATCATCAAATTCAGCCAGTTCAATCAAATTCTCTCCTCCAGAGATGCTCCCTTTTTCAGGATACTCTAATACAGGCAGAAATACCCTAACCCACCTTAAGGGCCACCGTAGAAGGATGATAGGCAGGGGGCCAATCCTCCCCATCAGCCTCAAGAACAGCCTGACTTTTTCTTTTGGGTCTGCGTGATCAAAATCTTAAAGCATTTTTACAAATCTGGAAAACTAGACAAAGCCATGAATAACTCAACAGACATATGTTCTAATTACTTCTTAGTTCTTTTACAAAACAACAACTACAATATTACATTATAATTTAAACTCTCTTCTGGTGGAAGAATAGCATGGGAATGTCTTGCACCAAAGTCATAAAGATTCCAAAACGAATCTACCTTGTCCTCCCAGGGTGAATTCAGTCTCTGTCAACATACGCCCACAAAACTAAACGTGCATAAATGCACTTCTGAATGAGCACATATTCTTTTATCTGTTGGTAGATACAGCAGCCAAATATATAAATTAAGAAATACCAGAACATCGAGGACTCTGTTAGCATTTGGTTGACCATAAGTTTGAACATAACACATTCATTCAGTTCACACATTGTTCTAAACGTGACTGGTTGAAAAAAACGCAGCATCCTAGGACTAAAATCACTATGGCTAGGTTCACATAGCACATTAGCACAAAAAGCACAATTGGAGGCTAGTGAATCAGTTAATATCTGGAGGTGATTCACCAATACTCTGAAACCTCTAAAGCAGGGGTGTCAAACTTGCAACATCAAGTGACATGTCGTGACGTATTGCGACTTTTTTGCCATTGTCGGCAATGGGGTGAGCACAGTTTCGCTATGATGCATCCGGCCCACAGGCCGGCAGTTTGACACCCCTGTTCTAAAGCCAGAGGATAGGATTAAATTGGAGATTTCTGTAATTTGTATATGACTATCTGGAAAGAAACAGAAGGAAAGGTCATGTGGTTGCTCATTTTTTTTCATTTCCTACCATTCCAATACATTAATATTCAGGGCTGCTCATTTGCCATCACCCCACTCTTCTGATTTCCTGTTGTGCAGTCTTGAATATGTCATCATTGTCCTTGTGCACAGATCCAGTTTTCTATTCCTGGCATTACGAACCCCCAAGTAATATTTACCCCAAATAGCATATGCTTTTCCTTCCTCTGCTGAAAGAGAAGTGTATGACTATGAAGCTTACGCAAATTGTGTTGTCATTAGCATTATGTATATTTAAACACTACTAAGATTCCCCTTTGGTATGTGTGCATGTTATGCACAAATAATTCAGATTCAGTCTTCTCAGCTAAACTCCCAGCAGGGGGAGTTTTGCTGCTGGGAATTTCAAATACCACTGGTGTTAGGTTTCTTAAGCTCCATCCTAGTTTTTTTGTTTTTTGTTTTTTTGAAGAAATAGCAGAATCTCAGATAAGTAAACTAACATATTTATTATGTTAGGGTCATGAACTGCAACCCAGCTTTTCTAACTTGTAGGGGATGGGGAAGAATAGACAAGTATTTGCTTCCTCCCACTGACTATTAGGGAAAACAAAGACCATCAGCCCAAGCTTGCAGCCTGGGGTCTAGTGTTGGAAAGAAACAGGCATGGACAAGAACCCATGCAGTTCTACAGATATGTGTTTTATTTCAAGCATTTAAATGGAAGATATTTAGACTACTTCCAGCTGGGGCTGCAGATCCAGAGACAGAAGTAAGTGTATGCTCTTTTCCCCAGATGATGATAGATTACTATTGCTGGGCCCTTATTGCACATGGTCTTAGCTTTCTCCTGCTACAGTTTTGTTTGCAGATGGCAAATATCACTGCAGAAGTAGCATTCAGGCATCTCATGCTTACTGGTGTGGTCTAGGCTAAGTTTTGTGGAACCCCACTGGATGCTGTTCTCCAAGATGATGTGGAGACACATTCTTGGTATGCGATTGTACGCGATCAACACATTCTTTGTATGCAATTACTGCAATTAACCAGCCAGTTTGTGGACCTACCTTATTGTATGCCTACTGTATTTTTGAAGTTTGACAGGGAGAATAGTGAGATGTGGAACCTTGTCAAAAGCTTTGCTGAAATCAAAGTAGATTGTTTCCACAGCATTCCCCTTGTACATCATAGTAGTTGCCTGTCAAAGAAGGAGATAAAATTTGCCTTATGTGATTTATTTTTGACAGACTGCCTCTTACCAATCTTAGAATTGTCTTCAAAAGTTCTAACATATAGCCAACTTTATTACATGTTGTAACATCTTTCCAGGATGCTGTATTCAACTCAGTGGTTGATAATTATTGGGACCCTCTTTTTTTTCTTTCCCGAAGAGAAGGACTACATTTGCTCTTTTCTACTCATCTGATATCTCCCCAGTTTCCCCTGAGTCTTCAAAGATAATTGACAGGGGTCCTGACAGTTTTCTGACAATTCTATCAAAATTCTAGAATGTATTTCATCAGGACTTGTAGGCTTGAAATCATTTTAAATAGCTAAAGATTCCTTTATTACATCTTTACTGACTTGCACCCTCTTCTATTGTATTCATTTCTAGTTTCAAATTTCCCTGCAAAGATAGAGGCAAATAATTCTTCCGCTTTTTCCTAGCCACTTGTTAAATTTTCTTCATTCATTGTTATCTTCTTGCTAACGGCAACTTCCTTACTATTTTCTCTTAGTTTATTAAAATTGGCCTAACTCTTCCCTGGTTTTACTTGAAACATTTTTCTTTCTCTTACTAGAGTTTTGTCTTCAATCAAAAGTAGTAATGAAATCACTACCTGTGCCTCAAGATCCTTTACTCTCCCAACCTAGGCCATTAAGTCATTTGTGCTACACTGGAGACTATGCCTTAAACTACAGTATCATTTGTGCCCAGCTGGATGAGTAAGAATGGTTTATTATTAGCAGGTCCAATGACTGGCAGATACATGGCAAGTTCTGATTGGCTGTTGGTCCCTCCATGACTCATAAAGAATTAGTGCCTGTTTCCATAGCATCCGGTCCTGCTAAAATAACCTGAATAGCCTTTCGCCTGGATCCATTTCACCTTTGAATAAAGGGGTTGTGCTGTGGAAAGGCTGATCCTACTGTAAATGAGGACCAAAATGCTCTTTGGGCTCTTACATTAGCCACTCCCATTGCCAGTTGAAGAAGTGAGTACTTTGTATATTTTCCTCTGGTTAGTCTCTCCGAGTTGTGTTGTGTGAATTGCAGGGAAGACTGGAAGAGTTAAACCAGGCCCTCACAAAGCTGGGCAGCTGGTTGCTTGCTGATTTGTTTTGAAAGAAGAAAGTGATGTTGACAGATCCAGTCTTATACATCAAACTTAAATTGGCCGAGGGGTTTAGTCCCAAAATGGAAGGCTAAAGGTTCTGTTTCCATTCTTTCCCCCTAGAAGTGACCTTCTTTGGTTTTGTTTGGTTTTGTTTAACAACATACATATTTAAACTGTTGTTTTATGGGTATACACCTTTCTATGTAGTACAGGTGACTTGGCTTTAAATTTCAAAATATATTCTTCTGAGCACTAAAGCAAAATTAGAATTTTCCCAGTTGTTCATTTGAATGAGAGACATCTTTGGGCAGTTATAGAGATGAGAAAGTGGATGTCTACCAGAAGACCTTATTTGCAAAGGATTGATGCTCTACGAGAATAGTTTGGTAGCATTTTAAAAATCTGCTTCTATTGCCTTCCCCAGTTCCTCTGCTTTTTAAGAGAACAAGTTTTCACTACCCGTCTCCCTGTTTCAAGGACAAACATGTTGATTATACAGCCACAGCTCCAGCATTGCCGGTCTCATAGATATGAAAGGAGATTCATAGTTTGAGCAGTCTGCCTCCTTTTCAGCTTTGCTGTCTATTTTAATTTCCAATAAATATTCACTCCTTTCTCATTCAAACTTAGCTGGAAGGGAAGAATAATATCTATAGTACTGTAGTTTGTTCCCTTACTGCACAGTATACAATCTGCCAATTTCATCTATCTTTTAAAAAGATTAGACTCACTGTATACTTTAAAGAAACTTACAGAAGCCATTGTATAGCCTTGGAAAGCTTTCCTTTCCTAATCAGTGTAATTGGAGCCTGCATAATATGCAGTATGTTGGAAAGCATCTAAAAAAAATTGGAGCAGAAGACATGTTAGTGTATTCTTAAAGTATAATCAGCACTTGGCTTTTCTCTCAAGGTAAGAAGCACTTTGTTGCTTTTAGAAGTAATTCCTCCATTTTGGTTTATATTTCTCCATCTCTCTAGTGCTTAATTTCTGAAAGGCTTACGCTCCTTTTGTAGTCATTTTCTCTGCCTTGGTAGGTCTCCCTATTATACAGAGATTGGATACACACTGGAAAAAGTATGTTAAAGATGCTCCAGGGACCTCTTCTGTTTGTGATTATTCATTCTTTCTGGCAGTGAAGCAGCCTTTCTGCAATGAGCAAAACATTAGTCTTTAGCATTGCGAAAATAATACAACTTAGGGGAAAATATGCATTTTGTAGATTTTCAACTTTCTATTACATGTTTTAACAATAGTGTTGGAACACATTTGTTGAAGAACTGGGCATCACCAGGTTTGATTTCAGATACTTAGGGGAAACAAACTGAATTCTCCCCTACTCCCAAGGTGATTCCTGCCAACCAGTTGGCAGCATCCTTGCCATCACAACAGAAGGAAGCTGGGAACCAGTACAATTAAAAGACTTAGCAGTACCATCAAGTGATTGGAAGTGGAAGCACCATTCACTTACTTCTGGATTGGAAGTCACATCTGGTACAGCCCACTGTGTCTTTACATCAATGTTTAAAGCAACAGATGGGATTTCTTTCATTAATAAAGACGTTGTACACAACAGCACAGTCATCTTTCCGTTTAAGGCTCACCATCATCGCAGGCATTGGTTGTTATAGAATTGAGGCAAAGCTTTTAGTAAACGTGCAGAAGACAAGATGTTAGCAGGTAAACAATTTTTGCCCTGTTTTGTAAGGAAAGGTCACCAAGCTCATTTGTATATCTGGCTGGACAGAAGATACAGCATTCATTTATTATATTCCAAAAATTGGTATTGCCAGTAGCTACAGCTGCCATCATATCTAATCTGAAATAACTTGCAGTCTCTGAATACTTAAAACCCCAAATTTAGCTGTCTAGGAATCCTCCCAATATGGTTATATCCAAAAATTTAATGTACCTGCTGAGTCATGAGCAGATGGGTTTTCCAAAAATCTGAAGTTGGTGCCGTACTACCACCCATTTCTAGCTTTTCCAGGGTACTTTAGGAACAGAAGATGTACAAAGCAAATTGGACAATATCATTGCTAAACCCGATCAAAATACCAGGAAAGTGTGTGTGTGTGTGTGTGTGTTTTTCAAGATGAAGTGAAACAAACAAAAATGCAGCAGGCTAATAATCAGGAGACTGAGCTCTAGTCTCGCCTTAGGCACAAAAGGCAGCTGGATGTGTTTGGGCCAGTCCCTCTCTCTCAGCCCATCTCACAAAGTGGAGGTTGCGGGGAAAATAGGAAGAGAAAGGAATATTAGGTATGTTTTCTGCTTTGAGTTATTTATAAAAATAATAAAAGTGGAATAAAAATAAACTCATTGCCTAAGCAAAGGGAGGCAGAATCTGAATAAAATTGATAGTTGTATCCAGTGTTTTGTAAAAAAAAAAAAAAAAAGGTGCCGGAACTCACACACATCATACAACCCGACTTGCCTACCCTACAAGGTTCCATCCAAAAAAGGTGCTGGAACTCCGTTCTGGGCGTTCTATGAGAAAAAAAGCCCTGGTTGTATCTGTCAAAAAAAACCCTGCTGTTTAGATGTGACATGGGAATGGGAATGGGGGGGGGGGGAGGGCTTTCAGAAAAGATCACTTCATCCTAAGAAAGAGGACAGCATTAGAAACTCAATGAAGAGCATTTCTGGAACCTCTTCTGCCAAGCTTTCTTCATGTCTTCGCCTACCCTGAAGGGTTGATAACAGAGAATGTTAAAACATTACATAATCAATAGAGGTACCCAAGGCTCACAGATTTTATGCATTATTCTCAAAGAACCAACAAGGTGAATATTTTCTAAGGCTTGTTAAAACCCTGTGATTTGTAGAGGCAACCTTAGCTACCTTCCTTCCTCCCTTGTTATATTTCAAGGAGTGCTCTCCTCTGGCCTTGATATATTAATTCTACAAAATAATATTTCGCTTATGACCACATGCAAACAAATATTTCTGGCAATAAGGCTTCTGTTACTGTTCAAGGTCCAGATCTTGTTGTTACACACTGTAAGTATCTGTCCGGATTTAGTTCTCAGCTTTTGTTTCTTTCCTTTGCATTTGTTTCTTTCATCTGAATTTGGAGCCACTCAAGAACATCTGATAAAAACCTTCCTTATCTCATGCTCAAAAGAATTGTCACTGAATGTAAGGCATTGGTTGATTCATGAAGGTATGGATTTTTTTGTAGGGATAATTAGCAGATCAAACAGAAAATTCAGAATAGACTTCTCTAATTTATTTTATTTGGCAAGAAAGTTTTGTTTTGCTTTCAAAACACAGTCACCATCGCCCCTATCATGCTTGGAAATAGCATCATCAAACCCTATCATGTTTGATAATAGAGGGATGCTGGGAATTTTATTTCAAAACATCTTTTGGCTTCAATCAAACCAATTTAGGGAATGCTGATCTAGGCAGTTTCTCACTTCAAATAGAACAAACATGGATCTGTCTCCCTAAATCATCATATAACTTTGCATTACTGCTGAGATGGATTGTCAGAAAACTATACAAGCATGATATTTGCTGTCCCTATTACAGATCTGTACTTGCTTCCATTGTCTCCATTTATCCATTTTAAAATCACCACAGGCAATGGCTTTTCTCCAAGATAATGTGCAACGAAAACTAATAGCTTTTAAATAGTTCGAAGTGGCTTTGAGACACCATTGGAAAAAGAAAGAAAATACAACTTTAACACTGCTATGACCACAATTTAAGCCTCTCATTGGTTGGGGATGAGGTAAACATTAGATCATTAGGACACCAAAGAACAATGTTGCCAAAAGATGTTTGTGCTGTTGTTAGGAGATGCAAAAGCCCAGAGATTTTTGAAGTAATATTTCTTTTTCCTTGGCCAATCCCTCTTTTTGGATAGGTTGATTTTGTCGTTGGGGCCACAGCAGGGAAGGAAGGAGTTAAAGCAAATGCATCAGAGTGCCAAGTCCCAATCTGTTATCCTTGACAGATTTGCAGTTCAGAGATTTTTGTTTTAATTCACAAAATCTGAAGCAACATTTTTAGCATTCCATTACTAATACTCTTCTTATCCTTAAGAAGTTGCATCTGAGTTAGACCAAAATTGCTTCAACAGTTTGTTAGCCACCCAGTTACGTATATGACATGGGGCAGCCATATACATGTGTTAAATATATCAGGTTCAGAATGGATAGATGAGAGGGAACAGAGAACTGGAGTGTACAGTTTCATAGAAAGACCGCTAGTATTCTGCTAGTATCTTTGTAAATATTGCCTCCTCTCTGCTGCTTCCTCATTGAAGGTTAGCAAATGTAGCTGGACACCTATCTCAAGAAAGAAGACTGCTATGATAGAGCCAATAATAGAGCCAGGTTTCTACTCCCTGTGTATATGCTGGAGTATGATTTAATATATTCATTGCATTTTTGTAAATCTAAAGTTGGGCAAATTGAGAGGAGAAGATCTGACTCTGGATAATACGTCAGAGATAGAAGTCATCTTGAGGTAAAGTGTGCAAAAGCCTAGATCTTTTCTACCAACATGTCTGGCACCATTTCCTATAGTCAGTAAAAAAAAAAAAAAAAGACAGAA